GTAGGTAATGATAAATATGGTAATTGCCTTCCTTTTCAACTGTATGTCGATTGGAACGTTTGCCTTTCGATAATGACATGGTTGTCCTACAACGACTCAATGATTCAATGAACTATAGTTACTTTAGACGACATAGAAAAACCAATCAAATTTATGTTTTTGAATTAATATAATCCCAAGCCGTCAGATTATCAAACAGCTGCTAGATGAGACAAAGTCTATCAGTACTGTGGGCTTACGTACTTGGGTGTAACTAACTAAACTAAGCCGATTGATCTGGTACGACATGCTGCCATATCGATGGTTCAGATTTTGGTTAGAATTAATTAGCTTAATTGCATCGGCACGGACCCAATCATTGCGACATTTATGTAACACAAGATTTCTCTCCGTGGCGTGCATGTGTCGTCACTCTCAATGTGTGTCCATGTGATTGATGTGTACATGACGATCGATGAGCAATTAAGCGTTGATCTTGGAAGGCCATCAACTTAAGGACATGTTATTTTCCTCTTAATGGATTAATAATTCACCGGCACACTTTGTAAACTCTCAAACAGTACATGATTCTTTCTTTTTTTTAAAAAAAACTTTAACCTTATAGATGAATTTGTTAAAACATTAATTTAAGTCCACTTTGTAACTTAATTAATTCATTTATCTCTTCAGATAATTAGAGATTGAGATATATTTGATAGTGCAGTGACAATAAGTATACGGTTTTAATTCTGAGGTCCGTCCCTCCAAATTTCTTTATTTTTAATCTTCATACAATTATCACAAATCATATATCTGAATAAAAGAACACCACCCTTAAATTATAAATCAAGGTGGGCACAGCCACGCCATTGTCGTGTTCCCGATGAGGTTGGCGTATATACGTCATCGGGTTTGATCGGTCGGTTGCGATTGCATCATGCGCAGTGTGCGACGCGCTACCTTGCGTGACGGCTCCGCGCGCCTCCCTCGCCGTACGGCACGTATCGAGATGAACACACGGGTCACGCTTCAGAGTTCACACCTACTACGAATCAGCACGTACGTACAAGAGCACTGTTCACATTTCGTTTTGGGTAGCCTAGTGAGATGGATTTCACGAATTTCAAACGAAGTTCACGTAGGCCGCGGTGAATCTGCGGGTGCGTTCAGTTCACGCTAAAATTAAAAATTTGGTTGAAATTAAAACGATGTGATAAAAAAGTTAAGAAGTTTGAAGAAATGGTTTATAACTAAACAAAACCTCGAATGAAATTCGGTAAAAGTAACCGAGGGGGTTGATTTGGGAGAGGTTCTCAGAATTTATTTTTGTACGGACCGAGTGGTAGGTTATTTATAATGGAATATGTTGATCATATTTGGGGTATGTTTAGTTCATGCTAAAATTAGAAGTTTGATTGAAATGAAATGATGTGATTGAAAAGTTGGAAATTTGTGTGTAGGAAAATTTTGATGTGATGGAAAAGTTAGAAGTTTGAAGAAAAAGTTGGGAACTAAACCAGGCCATGAATGGGTGCCTGTATTTATACCTAATCATCCATTCGGTAATAAGTGACGTACCAATAAGTAACGAGACGTCTTCGATGACTTCGTCAATCTTAAGGTATATTGGTTTAGTCTTCGAATATGTTTATTGAATAGAGTGTACCTACGTCTGTGTATTCATACGTGTAAGTGACCACGTGTGTATACGAGCGCCCACATCTATACCGTGTATCGGAAAAAAATAAAATTCTAGACGACAAAAGTTAACATCTAACTAGTGCTTCTTACACAGATACAGATGGATGCTATAGAAATCTCACGTGATGGAACCAACCCATCCGAGTCCAAGTCTCAGAGGGGGGTATTTGGATACTCCAAATTAGCGTTCAAACATCCAATATGGTAGGGGCTAAAAAGTTTTAGCCTATCTAAACAGAGCCTCAGAGTTAATACATATATTTGCATCTACGATTAATTATTCTTTTAGTGGTACGTGATATACATATCGACAACGAGACGTTCGTGACAATTTCGTCGATCTTAATATATGTCCGTTCATTTTTCAATAATGTTTAAAAGGTAGGACATACGTGTATATGTTTACAGGGGACGAGTATACGCGCGTTATTACCGCTGGAAAAAATCAATCAATTATAACCAGGGGAAGAACCACGTCAAGTAGTGATCGTGGGGTTGTTTCGTGGCCCATGAACCCACCTACTACGGGCGGCCGTGGGCCCACTAAGTTCGAGTGGGCCATGTTGGGCTTATTATGTTGTTCCACACAACTTCCATGCTCACCCAACCACACGGTCCACACCAACCCACGCCCTTGGACGCACTTGCAGGAGGAATGATCTTGTGAATGTGAGATCTCTTCTAGAACTGACATAGATATATGTGCAACACATATGAACACAAATATACCGATCTACACTTTGGAAACCTCGAATTGAAACATATCCAATTTGACTCCCTAGAATATATGTAGAATCTCGCATCACTTAACCGTAAAATCAGGTATAATATCTCCAAATGTTAAAACCGGTATGAAGTGACTCCCTTGATAATATTGACTGTGGTTTTCGCTGACGTGGCACATTGACCCTAGTCAAACCAGCAAACGATGCAATGAATGCAAAAACAAAAAGTTAAAATGCATTGTCCCGCATGTAAGTGAGGTACCCTTCCTTTCTACTGGCCCTCTTTCTCCCCACGAGTGGCAAGCCAGACATAAGATAGGCATGCAGCATCGCAGTTGGAAAATGGTGGTGGTGGTGGTGACCTGTGAGCGAGAACGAAGCGGTGGCGGACAACTCGGCTAGCGCGGAGGGTTGAATGCGGGCTAGATTTTTTGCGGTGGTGCCATGAGGCCATCCACAATGGGTACCCCTGGGTCGTGCCCTTGCTCACTGCGTCCGTCCGCTATCCGCGCGCCGTGCCCTAGAGGGGAACACAACCCCCACGAGGGGGACGTGTGGCTTTGGCTCCTCCAATCCCCTTTTCCTGAGGAACGGCTCAAAGGACCCCGTTGTGGCGACCTCGATGCCCCATCCCCCGCCTCCTCCCCCTGCATTTTCCCTTCTTGCCCCCCCTCTCAGCTGGGCGTGGTGAGGCGGAGCCGGCGTAGACTGCGCGGCCTCGTCGATGTGGTGGACGGCGACGGGCGGCGAGAGAGAGAGGCGGCGCGGCCAGATCTAGCCCACCGACAGCCGGATCTGGAGAGAGAGGCAGGAGCTTGGACGCCGTCGGCCACCGCACTGTGCTCTTGCTCCCGCGCTCGCGCGCTGTCCAGCCTCCCGCCGTCGGCCACATCGCCCCTCGCGCCGCTCGCCCGCCGACCAGCTCTCCGGCACGCGCGGAGACGGGCAGCCGAAGGGCGGCGGAGGGAGCAACGACGAGAGAGAGGGAGGAAGGCGGCCCTCCTCATCGCCTCGCGGCTGCCGGCAACGAGAGAGAGGCGAGCATCGAGAGGGAGATAGAGAGGCGGGCGGTGGCGGTGGCTGGGGAGAGAGGGAGATGGATGCAGGGCTGGGGAGGGCGAGGAGGGAGGCGGTGGCGGTGGCTGGGGAGGGCGAGGAGGGAAGCGGCGGCGGCGAGCAGCGGGGGAGAGAGGAGGAAGGTGGCGGTGGCGGCGAATGGGCGACGAGGGCGAGAATAAGCCATAAGAGAGAAGAAGCGAGGAAGAAAAGAGAAGGAAAAAAGAATAATGGGCTGGAGAAGGGGTATTTGGGGATTTTTCATCTGGGGCTACTTTGGGCCAAGACACCCATTGTGGGCTATAATACCCTTACCGGGTTGCTTCAGATTTTAAGGAGCTCATCCAGGGATACCTCCCATTGCGAGCCGAGTTTTCTACGAGTGTCCTCGGTTAGTGAGGACACTCTAGGAGTGTCTCACATTGTGGATGTCCTAAGGAGCTCAGCAGTGGCGGGAGATAGACGTCGTCCTCACTGCCCCCACGCCTTGCTGCCATATAGATTCCAAGGAGCTTCGGAGGTCCATCGCTGTCACATCTGCATGCCAGCTCCGAAGGCTTGAGCTCGACTAGGGAGGTAGACCCGGCAACATCACGACCCTTCGCCACTAGGCGGACCCACCATTCAGTTGTTGTTGCAACCGATGAGAAGCTGTTGGACTTGTGTGGGGGCACTACCGAGCCTGACTCTGACTTTGCCTCACCGTCGCCATCGCCCTTGACCATCCCGAGTGGTGGACTCCTCGTGGTATCGACCCCTTCCCCTCCCCTTGACCATCCCCGCCGGCTGAACTGCACCAGTCAGATTCAGCCATAAAGCGCTAATGGTGAGCCGACAAGGACGGGATGAAGGTAGAAAAAGCCTCTCCTGCCTGGGGAAGCAACACCATTTCCACCCGGTCTTCTTCTTGGCGCAGAGGATGACGCTAGAGAAGGTGTCAGGGATAAAGTTGACAATGAAGATGGCCATCGCGTGGATAAAGCTTAGAAGACGCCACCACCGTCTGCTATTGCCAAAGCCACCCTGTTGCACACGAGAAGACGATATGAGAGACGGAGGGGGTAAAGAGGGAGGAATGACATGTGGGGGCCACTTTTTAAAAATTCTTTTTATAAGTAGGTGTTTTTCTTGTTGATTGCAGGATCAAATCAACTGGCACGTTCATACATCTGAAGACGAGCTTTGAACCTGCACTGGAGTCATACATCTGAAGACGAGCTTTGAACCTGCACTGGAGTTAAGCAGATCTCCCAGGCCTCGTGTTTTCTGTCAACAGTAGGCTGCCATGTAGATGTCACGTCAACGAAATCCGCTCTCAAGATAGGCGAGAAAATTGTTGTGCATGGTTTTAAGATTTGGAGGAGTGGTTACACCCCGGTTTGGCGTTTGCAGGATACGAACGGTGAGAGCCAAAGTGGACTTTTTTCCTTCTCCTTTTCCTTTGTGTTGTTTCGTGGCCCATCGGCCCACGGCCTGCGCCTTGGGCCTAACTTAGATCTTTCCCTTCTTCTGCAATCTTCCCCTCCTCGGTCTCTCCACTCCACCACCACCACCAACATCGCACAGTCAGTCACACACCCACACACCGGCGAGCGCGGCGGAGGCTGGGCGATGGCGATGGCGATGGCGATGGCGATGGAGGCGGCGCCGGCGCCGGTGCCGCTGCCGCTGGTGCTGCGGTTCCGGAACGGCGAGGACCGCTTCGCGCTCACCGACCAGCCGAGGCAACTCCCCTTGGGGTACGCGATCGACGCCCCCTCCATTCGCTCCGCCCGCACCTTCGGCCTCCTCGACGAGTACGCGCGGGTCCACGCGCAGCACGCGCGGGGCGGCCCCGGCGCCGTGCCCGACATCGCCGCCTGGGACCGCGCCTTCATGGAGCGGGAGGTCACCGACACCGACGAGCTCCACGACCTCTTCATGGTAAAAACCTTGATCGCCTCTCGCCTGCTTGATTGATGCGTCCCCTCGCTCCCAACCCCGTTCCCTTGCCAGGCCCTGTTTGATGGATTGGTTGATTATATTTGCTTCCATTTTGTTTTGGTTTAATTGCCTGCACCGATGATATGATAGTTGGTTATTCTGTTTGTGTAGTACTACCTCCGTCCCAAAATGTAGCTACCTAGTACGTGATGTCACATTACCTGGTAATACGATTCGTAGTCCTAGGTAATGTCACATCCCGTACTAGGTAACTATATTTTGCGACGGAGGAAGTATTGGATTAGAACAGTGGATTCCAAATGAGTACCTGTATGCTTTGTTGGATTTTGACAGGAAATAATTTCAGAAAAGAATTTCTAGACCGAAGGTCCAAATCAGGCAGGGTTTGGTAAAACCCCCCAACTTCTAGAGGAGGCATGTACTTGATTACATGGAATTAAGCATGATAGATTGATAGATATATTGGCGTGTGCTTTTGGTTGCAATCGAGCGTGTTATCGTAATCTGTTAGTGCTAATTGTTGTTGATTAACAATAAGATACCTGCGCATTGCTGTGGCAAATCTTAGTACTACACAGGCACAGAGCACAGATCGAGGGTACGAACAATATCAAGTAATATATGATATTTGGTTGCTCATGATCCGAGGAATGGTGATGGATTCAGAATGTAAGATTGTGTGCTATTGTAGATTTATTATACTATGAAGAAGAATGCTGTAGGGCGAGTACTACGTGGTTTGCCATCTTCTAAAAAAATGTACTAGTATATAATTGTATTGGTGAGTGTTAATGGTAAACTGTATGGGATGCTCAGGTGGTAGTTCCGGTAGGAACTGTTAGTCTGGCCGTCTGGGATTGATTTCCTAGTGCCATGGCAAAATGCGATGCATGACATGTTAATGATAACAAGTACTAAAATAGTGGAAATGATGCCATGCATAACATGTTAATGATAATAAGTAGGAGTATAAAATAGTGGACATGAGCAATCTCTTTGTTATGGTGGGTGGTCAAGGCGACGGCAGGGGAACGTGTATGCTCTGGGTATGAGTATGCTAGCTCCGGTATTTTTATAATGAACTCTGATGGTAAGGCAAATGGAGACTAGGCCCCGGTGGGTAGGCTGTGGTAGGCTGGATCACAAGGAAGGTTGACACGACGGAATGGTTCTGGTTGCGGGCCTCTCTTACGACCGGCTCTGCCCTATGGGTAGCAGAGGAGGTATATGTATACTGAGCGCTTGTAGAGGTTAGAGGCAGAGGAAGAGGAATGTTTGGAGGCCTTTTGGGTCCCTAACTAATCAGATATGTAGAGACTTCATCCAGCATTGAAAATGATCGGTTTGGGCTGGGATATGTAGTTGGTAATCTGAGGTGTGGAAGTATCATTCATAGGTCTAGAACATTGAGGTGATGTGGCTTTCACCTAGGGGCTCCATCGTAGCAATAACTGTGGTTAGTGCAACTCAACTGTATAGAATTATGTTTGTACTACAGCTAAATGTGGTTAGTGCGACACAACCGTATAGGATTATGTTTATACTACAGCTTGCTGCTATAGATAATGTAGGTTTTCATGTTTTGTGCTTTGGTAGACTGGTAGTCGTATACAATGTGAGTCTGTTTGTGGAAATGTTGCAGCATAGGCACCTATCTAACCTGTTCCATAGAAAGGTATGAATGATGTTGTGTGCAAAGTGCATATGCATATAACAGCTTCATGATGGATGGTTGAATTTAATGTGTTTAACCTTCTGCCTATTCTGTTCTGTCCTTAGATGTTGCATATAATCTTGGTCATGGCTGATGTCCCAATAGAGTACTTTCTAGCTTGGAATCATGCATGCTCACAGGTGCACGCCACTTATATATCCATCTGATGACTGATGAGCTGCACAGCTGATTGTTTAGTAAGCAGCACATGACAATATGACATCAGAACCTGTCGTCTCACAAATCTGAAGATTAATGTTTAGCTTCTTGCTTCTAGTGAGAGATTACTTGGTCTGTGGCCTTCTGTCAAGTGCCTTGTGCATGTATGCATAGTGAGATGACTGACTGATACATCTGTGATTCTGTGTACATGTTGATGATGGATGTAGGCTGCGTCGACGCTGGAAATGGACGGGCTGAGTGTACTGTGTGCACAGAAGACGGCGGACGTCGTCAAGAAGCGCACCGTGGAGGAGGTCAAGGCGCTGCTCGGCATCGCCGACGTCGGCATGACGCCGGAGGAGGAGCTCAAGCTCCAGCACGACAACGATGCCATCCTCTGCCTCCGTTAACTACCCGATCTGCCGATCATCATCATCATCATCGCTACTTTTGTCGCTGAAGCATTTTGATTCCATCTCGCCTACTATATATGATGTACTTTGAGGTGGTATTGGGTTCTCTACGTCTAGATACTAGATATACAGTTTTAGCTTGATGCACACTGGTAGTAGCAATTCTGAGAGAAGTTTGGAGTAATTCTGAGAGAAGTTTTGCCAGGTGCTCCTGTGAACAGTACTAATTGAGAGAAACTATTATAGTGTATCATATTACCATCGAAGAACATGAGTTAATTGGTCATAAAATCATTGTGCATTTCGAATACTAGCAAGGTTATATATGTCTTACTCCATATCCATTAGCAAGGTTATTCCGTCCCAAAATAAGTGCAGTTTTGTATTGGTTATGTTTAACATTTGATAGTTCATCTTATTCAAAAAAAATTATGATTAATTTTTTATTGTTATTAGATGATAAAACATGAATAGTGATTATTTTTTTATAAATTTTATAAATAAGACGGACGGTTAAACGTTGGATACGGATATTCATGGCTGCACTTATTTTGGAAGGGTGGTAGTAGTAATCAAGGTGATAATAATGACTAGTAATTCTTGTCGAGAGATACTCAATTCCAATGTCATCACGCCGTTCGAAAATTTAAATTCTATAAAACTACTCAAGTTTCTTCGTGCAAAATTTTTTACAATGTTTATGTGAAATGTTATTATCACAAGACGATAATCTTGAGAATACCAAAGTATGAAGAACAAAAATTGAATCGGCAAATATCCAGTACTACCATTTTCTCCTTTATCAAAAATTGAATCGGCAAATATCCAGTACTACCATTTTCTCCCCAAGATGCCGTTGGGCCCACGCCCTGACAGGCAGGGGATCACGTGGCGTAGCGGGAGGGTGGTGTAGGGAACCCGTCCCGTGGCTGCAGGTGGGGCCAGGTATAATCCTGGGCCCACCTGTAAGTGAGAGGAGTCTGTATCAATATAACCTTCTCGTACCTTCACCTCTTCAACATTGCGCCACCTTTTCACCCACCCACTTCACCCCCTTCCGCTCCCTCTCCCTCTTCCTCCTCGGCGACGGCGATGGAGGGCGCGGCGGCGGCGGCGGGGGCGGGGGCGGGGGCGGGGTTGCCCATGGTGAAGTTGCGGGGAGGCGACGGCGTGGAGTTCTCGGTGCAGGCCCGGCGGCTGGCGGAGCTCGCGCCGCGACACGTATGGGACCTGCCCGCCATCGAGTCCGGCGACATCTACGACACCGTGCAGCTCTACCGCAGGAACGCCGAGCGCTTCACGAGCCGCGCCACCGGCGGGCTGCTTCCCCAGGGGGTCCTGAACGTGCAGACCATCTTCGCGCAGAGAGTCAACGACCTCGACACCCTCGGCCACCTCACAAGGGTAAGCGCCCCTCGCTCCTCTCCCTCTCCTCTCCTCTCCTCTCCTCTCCGGCAATGGAGGCATCTTGCAATTATTAGGGATGTTTTCCGGACTGTGTGGTTTGCGTTGCGATTTTGTGTGCACTTCGTCTTCAACCCTCTCCTCTCTTTCTCCCGTTGATCGGAACCTTCCGCGGATTCAGCAGCCAGCGTCGCATCCGGCGACGGGTTGGGGTGGTCGGGGGATTGGGGGGTAGGAGGAGGAGGGGCCTATGCTGTTCCCCGGGCTTAGAGTGATGGCCGGGGAGGTCGCGGCTTGGCGGTGGAAGGGGTCGTCGACGGCGACGGCGAGGGAAACCGTGTAGGCGGCGGGCTGCGCCGGTGGAGACGGGGAAGGCGCAGTTGCGCAGCTAATCGATCGGCGAGGGGAGGGAGAGAGAGAGAGAGAGAGAGAGAGAGAGAGAGTTCACTGTTCTAGAGGTAGAAGATGCACAGAACCCGTTGGATCTTAGAACCAACGGCCCAAATTTTGGCTGAGATCTTGCGAAGAAAACAAACAAGTAGCAGCTTAATTTGTTTTGTAAGATATTAGTATTATGTAAGATATAGTGACTAAAGTACTTCCACTTTTGAAACTTTGTCCTAGATATGCTATAGTAGGCTGCCTGATTTCTCTGTTCAGACAGATGTTTATGTTTCTAATCTGATTTCTCTGTACAGGCTGCGATTGTTCTCGGCATGGAAGATCTCAAGGATGAATGCTACAATAGGATGCTGCAAGATCATCAGATGGGACCACAGCAAGTGAAGCTGTTTTTGCAGAATGTGCTGGGACACCCGTGAACGGTTCCGCAAATGGCATTTTTCCTAGTTATCATTAGCAGATCATCACCCTGGTCTATACCTAGCTAGTGAAGTATATACTGCCTATGTTTCAGGATAGGTTAAGTCTTAAGTACATACATGGCTAGAACTCTGTTAAGCCGACTGCGTGCCTGCGTGCACTTTATCAGGTCTAGATGTGAGAGCTACTTGAGTTGTTTGGTGCTAAGGCCGATTCGAATTGCTCTTATCAATTCAGAATTCACAAGCTTACCAGCTCTACCATGCTATTCTGCTTTACTTCTGTTTGGATACATACAGCTTTGGTTTTCTGAGGTGTTGGAAATGTCTGATAATAGGTGAGGCCTTCTATAATCATGCTATGTCTTTTGCTGCTGTTGTAGAAATATGGTGCACTGCTGCATAGGAATTATGCCTGTTTGCATTGTCATTTGCCAGTGATTCAAAAATTTGCTTTTATCTCAATACGAGAATGTGATTGAAGCCCTCTTCTGGTAGAGGATGATCGTGTGGATATTTTCTTTCCTGTTGTAAATTGGCTGGTTATTTTGAATATTTTATTTTTTTGATCGCCTGGTGGATCTCTGCTGCGATGATGTGGGCGCGCTGATAATGAAAAGTATTAATTATGTAACCTGGGAATCAGAATTTGTGTTGCTCTTTCATTTTGTTGATCTGCTTGAAATGGATGTATTCGGGATTGTATGAACCTCTGGCTTTTGCTCATTTCATTAATGAAATGGGAGGGCTCTGCCCCTCTTTCCCAATTTTGCTGGATGAAATGGATGTACAGAAATTATCCTGATATCTTGATTCCACATCTGTATGTTTCAATTTTGCTTCTCAAATCACTGATGATCTCTTTGGTTTCTGGTGATGTACGAGACACTACTATTCTATGGAAGCAGCAGCCGACTGATGGAGCAATTCTGGTTGGCTGATCCTGGCAAAGGGACAGTCTCAGGGGATCAAATAAAACCTATTTTATGAACCGTCAAAATATTTGGCTGCAGTGAGATGGTTATTGAATGAAATGGAACAAGTCTATACTATGCTTATGCTGTTGTATTCTACTCTGTTGCTCCATGATGTGTATTCTATTCTGCTGTCTGAGCAAACATGTCCTGAACTCTCTTACAATTTTTGTGTGCCTGACCACTGAATAAGAACTGACAATAGATTGCATTGTCACTTTTGGAACCTTAAATTGAGGAAGAATAATAAATGGATTTTTTTATTCATTTTGCTTAACAAAACCATGAGTTGTCTACTATCTAGTGATGTGCAAGTCTTGTGGAAAATGTGTTTGTGGCATTACAGTATGATATGAATTGCAGAAATCTTATCGACAAAAATCTCATCTGCTGATGAGATAATTGAGAATGGAGACACCTGTCGATGGCTTTTCTGCTGACGCCAACTTGCCAAGTCCACGGCGAAGTGACTGTGAGGTGGCGCTCGGTGAGTCGTCCGATCAACATTGTGCGCCGTAGATTTGCTACTAACCGATTAGTTTTATTCTGTATTTCCAGAAGAAGCTGCAGATTTTTTTTTCTTCCTATTCGGAATTGGACCCAGACCGTCCGATCACTAACGTGCGCACCAGATTGACAAAAAAAAAAACAGAGAAAAACTCTCTGTATGAATATCCAACCCCAGCAATATCGAAATTTGAAACCGCAGAGAGAGAGAGAGAGGAGGACGAGGAGGCACCGAGGCAGCTTGCTCCACACGCCTCCGCCGTGACTCGCCGGAGAGGAATGGAAGAGGCCCGCGCGAGAGTCGTCGCCTCCGCCGTGGCGAGAATGAAGCCACCGCGGGCGACGGTGACGCATGCCACTCCGGCCGCCGTCCTCGCGCCGCCCGTCGGCGACGTCCCGCACGCCGGGTGGCGGGGGCTACCCGACGACGTCGTCGCCAGGGTGCTCGTCCACCTCCCCGTCGTCGACCTGTTCCGCCTCGGCTACCTCTTCTCCCCGCGCTGGCTCGACATCTGGCGCGCCGAGCCGCTGTATCTCCACGACCGCCAGTTCGTGTCTCCTCGGATCGCCGCAGCCGACGTCGCCGACGCCATAGCCAACGTTCTCGAGCTCCACGTAGGCGACGGCGTCCAGTTCGTAGGCGTATAAGGAGAGAGCGGGAGCGACGACGACGACGACGACGATGACGACGACGACGACGACGACGACGATGAAGACGACGACGACGACGACGACGACGACGACGACGACGACGGAGATGGAGGTGGAGGCAACGAGGTAGTTGGCGCGGATGGCCACGACCTGGGCGTCGTCGTCCACCCATGGAGAGAGGATGACGACGATGATAGCGATGATCATGACGGGGGCCCCGACGACGCCGAAGACGAGGCAGCAGTTCAAGACGCCGGAGTCGTCGACGATTCTGGACCCGGGGTCGCCGTCGAACTAGAACACGAGGCAGCAGATCAAGGCGGTGGAGTCCGAGTCGTCGACGATTCTGACGGCGAAGGCGCCGCCGGCCGCTGCCGCCTCCGATTCCCTGGAGGCATAGGCGCCGACGACGGCGTCATCAGCGACGACGACCTCTACGGCCACGACGACATCCCAGATGGTGGTTACGAGATCGGCCGCGTCTACAGCTTCCGAGTGGAGACCACGCGGTGGCGCGCCGACCAGCTCCACCGCTGGTGCGCCGCGCTCCAGCGCGGCCGTGTTCGTGAGGTCACCCTCACCAACCTCACCATGGAAGGGTTCCCCGACCTCCCCCAGGGCATCCTCGATTGCGGCACAAGCCTCAAGGGACTCCACGTCTTCTTCTTCACCGTGGAGGCCGACCACATCGACCCCCTCGTCAACCTCCGCGTCCTCGGGGTGTACGGCTGCAGCGGCATGATCACGCGAGCACTCCGCCCCGAATCGGAAATCCGGGTGCTGACGATCGACTTCAACCATCTGGGAGACGTCGTCGTCCAGACCACGCGCCTCCGGTCTCTGTGGATGTTCAACAACGTGGTGCAGGGCACGGTCATCGTGAACGACGCCCTCCAATTCCGGGACCTGCACCTGTTACCACCGACGAGGCCATCCAGGATCTTCATCGGTGACGCGCCCAGCCTGCGAAGCATCGGCTCTCTCGATCTCTTCAACACCGTCTTCGTGATCAAGGGCATTGTGATTCAGGTATGATCAAATCGATCAAATCGAATCGTGTCCGTGTGCACTGCATCTGCATGCAAATCGATCGATCAAATTCAGACCCCTGCATGCTGCTCATCCGATTAACTCAAATCCAAATCCAAATTGGCTAATTAACAATTCTATACTCTGATCATGCGCAGGCTGGGATGGTGCAGCGTCCTCCAAAGATGCGTTCTGTCAGGATTCTCGGCTTACGGGTGAACTACACAGATATGGGTCACAGAGTGCCCCGTGAGATAGAGCAGATTCTGAAGTGTTTCCCATGCTTAGAGAAACTGGAGATCATGGTAATAAACAACCAATCCAAACAATCAATCGTTTCATTGTCCTGAAATTTGCTGTTATTTGCTCTGCATCAGTATTAGACTATGTCTGAATTCTGATTTCTGATTGGGTTGTGCGTGCGTGCCTTTGCTGCAGAATTACTATCAACTGTCTCTGTAGTTCAATGGTAATATATAATATGTCTGAATTCTGTTTGAATTGTGCGTGACTTGCAGAATTATCATGTCTGAATTCTGATTGAGGTGTGCGTGTGTGCCTTTGCTGCAGAGAGACGATGAGGTTACACCAGAAGAAGGGCTCCTCAAAGCTGATGGTGAACACATCTATCAAGGGAACAATTTCTTCCGTGACCTTGGTTGTTTCAGCCATCACCTGAGGTGGATATATCTTACAACTTTCCGAGGGGGCAAGTATGAACTTGCTCTGGGCAAAGCCATCCTCGACGAAGCTCGAGCCGGGACAATTTTCAGAATGGTACCCCCACCAGGCAGCAATACCGACAACATAGTTAACCAGCTAAGGCGGGCTATGCAACATTTCAGAATGACCACTCCAAATCATGCTGTCAGAGATCGACATGTGTCCGTTCTTCTAAGTTTGGATGGAACTTGAAGAAGGCTACTCCAGGGTGTTGTTCTGCGCTGTTGTACTACTGTCAGAGAGATTTTAGGCTGGGCTCTTTTCTTCAGTTTGTCTAGCTTGTCAAATGAGCGAATTGTGAATGATGCTCTCTTTGAGTCTGCATTTGAACAAATCCAAATCTTGATAGCAGTAAAAGTAGATACAATATCTTGATGAGATGAGCATGCTGTTTGTGCTTTGCTTTTACCGGAAAATTTGATCAACATAAAAGTGAATTATTTTTCTTAGATGCTAAACAACTGTAGTCTGTAGTGTACATGTATATTTGTTGATCATGATGCTAGACAAACCGGAAAATTATTTGACTGCGGCTAGATTTTTATACAACTAAGTGACATGCATATACTTGGGTGCAATTGTACCTGGTGCAAAAAGAACGTTCTGGTTCTCCACTGACCTGTCAAGCTTCTACATGTGTATGGATTGGGCCTAAAGTTAGGCTCTAAACTATACATGTAGATTTGTTGATCATGGTGCGTATTGATTTGTTATGCATGTGTCAATGTCTGTCTATGTCGTTCATTTTCTCCTACTGATGTTTTTTTTTTAATATGCGAGACGCACATTTTTGTATTAAGAGGAATAAATGTATTTACAGAGTGGGCCTGAAAAATAAAAAGAATGCGACATGGTACAGGAGAGGGGAAAAGAAAAGCATAAGCCTAATCTCCTAAATGATTTGGCGACCCAAGAACAAACGAAGGAACTGTCATGGTTGGTATGGCTGATCTAGCCATCCGTCAGAGGTCCGCTTCCCCCATCATAGCCCTGGCTATCTCCATCCAAGGTCCGCTCTTCTGGTTGAAGACCCGATTGTTCCTTTCCTTCCAGATTGTCCACGCTACCAGTGTCGCCTCCTACTGATGTGTTGAGAGTTTCTGAAATATAATTACATGTATCTATCTGAACGAACATGTACTGCGGGCTCTTACAATTTTTGTATAGGCTGTGATGGTTTACCTTACCAGACCACCATTAATCTTACAATTTTTGTAAGATTGGCCTGGCACTTACATAATCATATAATGTATGAACTTAACTGTCAGAAATATTATACCACTATTAATTGTTTTGGAGCCTTGAATTGAGGAAGGAATATTTGAACTTTTTTCTTTTTTTTTTTGCTTAATTAACAATCAACATAACTACTAACTAGTGTTGTTTACCGTCTTGTGAATTGTGATGTGGAACTGTCAACCGTGTAAAGTCTTGTGGCACTTCAGTATACGAGTTGCAGAGAAATCTCATCTCCCAATGAGATTGCTCATGCTGTTGAGAAACTCTGCATTTCACTTTTCTCCAGCGTTGGAGGATCATGTCGACGGCGAGCGCCACCTCTTGCGCTGCCGCTGACGGTGTTCTTCAGCCACCAAGTTCACGCCGATCGAAGCGCCGGTGTTCTCTCTCCGGTGGCTAATCTTAGTCCGTCCGATCAACATTGTGCGCCGGAGATTTACTAAGAAGCGATTTTTCTCCAGAAGAATGCTTTGGCTTTTCCGTATATACAGAAGAAGCCGCGGATCCACTCCAAAACTGGATACAAACCGTCCGATCAGTAACGTGCGTACTAGATTGACCAGAAAAATCTAAAGCGCAAACTCCTCTCTATAAATATCCAACCCCGCGGCTACATTCCTAGCCGTAGCCGATAGCGAGATCAAAATTTGAAACCGCGGAGAGGCGGCAGCTTGCGCCATACGCCTCCTCCTCCGCCGCGTGGAGAGGCCGTCGCCGACCACCAGCCAAGTCGCCGGAGCGAGCCCGGTGGCCGGAGAGGATGGACCACGAGAGCATCGTCGCCAGCGACCTGTCCATCTACCCTCTGCCGCCCGGGACGCGCACCCTGGCCACTCCGCGCGTCGTCCTCGCGCCGCCTCCCGTCACCGTCGTCAACCAGCCGCACGCCGACTGGCGGGGGCTCCCGGACGCCGCCGTCTCCCGCGTCCTCGACCGCCTCCCCGTCGTCGACCTGTTCCGCCTCGGCTACCTCTTCTCCCCGCGCTGGCTCCACATCTGGCGCGCCCGGCCGCTGTATCTCCACGACCGCCAGTTCACCACCCCACCGATCCCCGCCGCCAACGTCGCCAACGCAATCACCAACGTCCTCCACCACCACGTCGGCGAGGGCGTCCAGCTCCTACCCGTACAAGGTGGCGGCGGCGGAGGGGGAGGCCAAGGTGAAGGAGCGCTCGTGGGCGGCGGCGATGCCGATGAGGCCGTGACCAGCGACGACGAGATCTACGAAGACGAAGGCATCATCCAGAACGCCGGTCACGAGATCGGCCGCGTGTACTGCTTGCGAGTAGAGACCACGCGGTGGAGCCTCGATCACCTCGTCCGCTGGTGCGCCGAGCTCCAGCGCGGCGGTGCTCGTGTGCTCATGCTCGCCAACCTCGCCATACCAGAGCACCCCGAACTTCCTCAAGCCATCCTCAACTGTGGCGCCAGCCACCTGGGACTCCACGTCTTCTTCTTCACCGTGGAAGCCTACCACATCGCGGCCCTCGTCGAGCTCCGCGCCCTCGGGCTGTACGGCTGCATCGAGGGCCACGGCATGATCGACCGAGTCCTCCACCCCGAATCACCGATTCGGAAGCTGGCAATCCACGGCGGCATGGGGCGAACTTTCGCCGTCGCCGGCGCCACGCGCCTCCGGTCTCTGGTCTTGTTCGACAACCAGGTGGGCACGGTCGCCGTGGACGGCGCCGCCCGATTCCGGAATCTCTACATGAGCGATACGAAGCCATCCAGGATCCGCATCGGTGCCGCGCCCAGGTTGCGAAGAATCCTCTCCCTTGACATCTTCAACACCGTCTTGGTGATCCAAGGCTTAGCGATTCAGGTATGATAAAATCGATCGATCAACCTGCCTGCTCATTTGGTTGACACCAATTCTGAATCTCTGATCGTGCGCGTGCAGATTGGGATGATGGAGCCGCCTCCACAGATCCGTTCTGTCAGGCATCTCTGCTTACGGGTGAACTACACAGAGATGGACGTCAGGTTGCCCCGCTTGATGGAGCAGATCCTGAAGAGTTTCCCACGCGTAAAATCACTGGATATCATGGTAATGCTAATGAACAGCCAATCCTATCCAATAAATTGTTGCATAATTCTGAATTTGCTGCTTATTAATTGCTCTGCACTGATATGTCTGAATTCTGAATTCGCTGTCAATTCCTCTGTACAAAAGTGTGTGCATTTTGATTTTTTCTGACTGAGTTGTGGTCTGAATTCTGAATTTGCTGCTAATTAGTGATATGCGTGGATTCTGATTATTCTGATCGAGTTGTGGTCTGAATTCTATATTTGCTGTCAATGGCTCTGCACTAATTTGTACTATGCGTTTTGATTTTCTGATTGAGTCGTGTTGTGCCCTATTGCAGAGATGCGATGACGTTACACAAGCAGAAGGGCTCCTCCAGTGGAACGATGCACACTATGACGGGAACAATTTCTTCGATGGCCTTGAGAGTTTCAACTATCACCTGAGGTGGATATATCTTGAAGATTTCAGAGGAGGCAAGTGTGAAGTTGCTCTGATGAAAGCCATGCTCGACAAAGCTAGTGTCCTGAGACAGTTAATGATACAATACTCGACAAGCAGCGTCCCCCAGCTCACCCTGAATCAGCTCGACTTGTCTCTCCAGAATTTCAAGCTGCACACTCTAAATGGTGCCATCAGAGGCAATCTTGTGTCCTTTGTTGCAGCCGATGCTTCCGGAAGTTGCGTACGACTAGCAGCGCAAGGCTAGGTCAGGTGTTGTTCTGTCTGTGCTCTGCTTCGGGGAGAGAGAGAGAGAGAGAGAATTTTAGGGTGGCTCTTCTCAATTTCTTCAGGTGTTGCTAGTCAAATGATGCTATAACTGATATTCTGCTAAGTGAGTGAATGATGCTCTGAGCATCAATGCAGTGAATGATGATGCCCTCTCTCAGTCTGAACAATATGTTAGTATTGAGCAAAGTCAAATCTTGATAGCAGTAAAAATGTACAGTATCTTAGCATCTCTGCAATAGGGCACAACACAACTCAATCAGAAAATTCTAAAATTCTGATTGAGTTGTGGTCTGAATTCTGAATTTCTGCAGTAATGTGTGTGGAACTCTACATTCTGCTTTTCTGATTTGAGTTGTGGTGTGCTGCATTGCAGAGAGACGATGAGGTTACAGTAGCAGAAGGGCTCCTCAAAGCGACGGATGAACACATCTATAAAGGGAACAATTTCTTCCATGGCCTTAGAGGTTTCAGAGGGGGCAAGCGTGAACTTGCTCTTATCAAAGCCATCCTCGACGAAGCTCGAGCTGGGACACGGTTAAGGATGGAATACTCAACAAGAAGCAACCCCGAGCTCACCATGGATCAGCTCGATCAACTTGTCTCTCCGGATTTTCGAGCTGCTCACTCCAAATGATGCCGTCAGAAACGATCGTGTATCCTTTGTTGCAGCTGATAATTCTGGAACTTGCGTACGACCAGCAGCATAAGGTTAGGTGTTGTTCTGTGCTCTGTTTTGTCGACATCGAGAGAGAGAGAGAATTTTAGGGTGGTTCTGTGAGCGTCAATTTTTTCTGTGAGCCTTACCACTGAACATGGCCTGACACTTGCAATTTTTTTTGACATATGAACTGGCAGAAATATATCGAAATAGGCTGTGTTTAGTTTAACGCCAAAATTGGAAGTTTGAATAAATTGGAACGATGTGACATAAAAGTTAGAAGTTTGTGTGTAGGTAAGTTCGATGTGACGGAAAAGTTAGAAGTTTAAAGAAAAAAGTTGAAATCTAAATAGGGCCATAGACACTTTTTGGAACATTAAATTGAGGAGAAGCAATCTGCGCGGGCCTTTGCCCCCATTGGAAATGGATTAGGATGGATCAGCTAGCAAGAACTGGCAAGCAGCGCCACCTCTTACACGAAGGTACCTTCAAATCAGACGTCCGATCCTCTTAGGCCTTGTTTAGATCTAAAAAATATTTGGTCAAAAACATTAAATCAAATGTTTGGACACATGCATGGGGCATTAAATGTGGAAAAAAACCAATTGCACAGTTTGCATGTAAATTGCAAGACGAATCTTCTGAGTCTAATTACGTTATGATTTGACAATGTGATGCTACAGTAAACATTTGCTAATGACGGATTAATTAGGCTTAATAAATTCGTCTCGCGGTTTACAGGCGGAATCTGTAATTTATTTTGTTATTAATCTACGTTTAATACTTTAAATGTGTATCCGTATAATTCAAAAACTTTACACACAAAGAACTAAACACACCCTTAAAAAAATCGGTCAGACAAATGTTTCAGTTGACCACCAGTAAAGCATTAAATTATACATGATAAACAAATCAATCATTGAAACATTTGATTTTTTTTGCAACACAGTGAAGACACACGTTGAAACATGTTGCTATCACATATGAAACATTGAGTATTAACGAACTGAAACATACATTTTTTTCATCAGAACATAAACATGCGATATCATATTGTGAAGATTTAGTTACAACAAATACAACGGTGTTATTGGATTGTAGATTAGAAAAGTAGTTTAAGATAAAAATTATTTTGAAGGTTGCTAAATCCACGCATGCATGCATGGATAGTGATGAGAGAGAGAGAGTAGGGCAAGTAGCTAAATAATTTTTGTGAAACATAGTGAATACATACTTTAAAACATGTCGTTATCACATAGGAAACATTAAGTTTTAACTAGGGGTGGGCATGTGGTCTAACCGAAAAATTCGGTTCGGTTCCTCGGTCTTTCGAAAATCTCGGTCTTCCGAATCACAAGACCGATCGGTCTTCAAGAAAACTTAGGACCGAGCACTTCGGTCTTCGGTTAGTTCGGTTCGGTCTCGGTCATAGACCGAACTAACCATAACAGTGGTTTAAACAGCAAAAAAAAAATAATCACAAAAAAAATTATTCCATACAAGATCAATGAATCGAAGCAACTCAGATGAAGAACTACAATATGATGCCGCTAGAGCATGATTCAGGAAAAAAAAGAAGCAAATCAAAGCAAATCGATCTTGCCATGACTTGGATCCCGTCGATCTCCACAATTCCACCTAAAGCTCCAGATCCCGTCGATCTCCCACCGTCGCTTTCATCCCCGACCGGCCTCCTCAGCCATCTAGGTCTCCGGTGCAGCAGGGTCACCGGAGGGAGCACGATCTCTTCCGCCATGACAGGTGAAAGGGCGGCGCCGAGGCGGAGGCGTCCTGGCCGGAGGCAGCGTCGACGCGGTGGAGGCTAGAGGCGGAGGGCGGAGGCGGGGCGGTGGAGGCGGAGGCCAAGCGGCGGTGAGCGTGAACGCACGATGGATGGGGAGGAATGCGGCGCTGAGGAGGGAGTGAGGGGCGTGACGCGTGAGGTAGGCAGTGGGAGATAGGGTGGGATTAGGGTTTATGTTACTGGGCTTATTGGGCCTCATAGGTCTATTAGGTCACAATTCGGTTATCTCGGTTAATTCGGTTAACCGAGCCTAATGACCGAAAGACCTGAAATAAATTCGGTCTTTTGATGGCTGAGACCGAACTACTAACCAAATTTCTCGGTCTCGGTCTTGATCTTTTCGGTTCGGTTTTTCGGTTCGGTCTAATTGTGCCCACCTCTAGTTTTAACGGTCTGAAACATATATTTTTATTTTATCAAAAATATAATTATGTGATATATTATTTTAAATATTTAATTGCAACAAATTCAATCGTACGATTGGATCATAATCGGATAAGTAGTTTAGGAAAAAAATATTTACAGTAATGAGAAAAAAAGAAAAAAAAACTAGCTACTACTTATTTTGCATGCATGCAACAGTAGCAAGGAGCCCATATTTTTTTTTCATTCAGATGGGGCTACCGAACAAGATGATTTTAGCTCTTACACTGACGATGAAGTAAGGCCTGGTTTAGTTACCCCAAAATTTTTCCCAAGAACATTTCATCGAATCTTTAGACACATGCATACAACATTAAATATAGATTAAAAAACTAATTGCATAGTTTGTGGGGAAATCGCGAGACGAATCTTTTGAGCCTAATTAGTTCATGATTAGCCATAAGTGCTACAATAACCCACTGTCACGCCCCGAACTAGTCCCGACCGGAACTAGCCCGTGACGCTCCAAATTAACCTGTTAATCGATACCAGTCCCAGGAAACAGTGCTGGTATCACAGGGAGACAGAATATCACAGCAACAGAGGTCTCTTTATTATAGAGTAGAAGTACAGTCATGTTGGGCTGCGGACAGATCCCGAGCTCACAACTGCATTACAAAAGGAAAGCGGAAGCCAGGACTTGGACCAATCATCACAGGCGCGACTTGGGAACTAGGCCGAAACCCTAAAACTCATCGTAGCCGACTTGCTCCTGGAAGAACTCCTCGTCAGCAGGATCCACTTCATCTTCTTCAGCAACTGGGGGGGATTATTTATATAGAGCAAGGGTGAGTACGGGAGTACTCAGCAAGCCAGGGGAAATAAGTGTTTAATGCAGGCTTCAAGGAAAGGCTGTTGTTTTCGTAATTGATTTTGTTTGAACTCTTTTCTAAAAAGTCTAAGTGAGTGCTTCTCAAACGACACGGATGAGACAGTGCGTCTCGTCCGGTCGGAGTATGTGCAATGTATCAGTCTTTAGATCTTGAAACAGGGTTGGCACCCGGCCAACAGCTTTTCAAACGGCCACCCGGGCCAACAACTTTTCAAACGGCCACCCGGGCCTAGCTGATCCCGTCAGCTGCTGATTTTTCAAACATCGAACCCAGTTTCACAACAGCAATTTCACAAGCAGTAGTCAGACAAAACTACGCTAGGAATTACCTCACATCCGCCCATGACCGTGGGCACGGCTGTTCGAATAGTTTGTTAACCTCTGCAGAGGGGGTACACTTTACCCACACGACATTACTAACCCGGATCACCCAGCCCGTGGGGATCAGCCACGTCGGGAGACCTCCAAGCTTTCATGACAAGGCATTTCGAAAGCCGATACAGGTTTACCATATGCCGACGAGAGGGGTCCCAGACCAACAACAGGTTAGGTCCCAGACCATACTGTGCCAGGAAGCCCAGGGGTCCTCCCCGACACCACCCCGGCGAATCCACATGTCTCTCGGCATCAAGGCTCCCCTGATAAGCTAGTTACTCAGCCAGGGGTGTCCCATTCTACCCATGTGGTCGTACTTGTCTTATGTTTGGATGAAATTCCAAGGAATCGGTCCTTAAGTGCGAGAGCGGGAAACCGTACACCCGGTACGTTCCCCGGTCCGCGGTTTTGGAAATTCATTTAGTTCGCAAGCACCGACCCAGGTGTCGGGTTTTCCAAGTCTTTTGTAAAACTCCAGTTTTACCCAAGTTGTTTCTCAGATTTTAAGTTTGAAGGCGACCGTCGATACTCGCACAGAGTGCACGAATATCGAGGTGCAACTGGGTTTTTACAAGGGGACATGGTATAACAATTAACAAAGGAAGGATCAAATGCAACAAATTAGGTAGGTCTGCCAATCTGCCTTGCAGACGGGACAACAGATTAAGTGTGATCCTATCAATGCATAATATTTCGCAAGCAATACAATTAAATTTCAAATATAGGCTCAAGATGTTCAAAGGTGGCTTGCCTTGCTCGAGATCTGGAGCTTGATCCTCGAAATCCTCGCACTGCGGGTCTTCGGGCTCCGAAACTACACGCGAAACGGGACAACTCAACAAACGGCGAAAATAAAGCCCTATTAAAGACCTTTAAGCGTGCCACTATATAGATCTCGAGATTTGGGAAATTTTAGAAGTTGAACGGAGTCAAACGGAATTACGGTTGGGAAGATATTGAATTTCTAAGATTATTGGATTTTTGGTCTAAAGGAAAAGGATTTAATTAAATCCTTTTTGAAAAAGAAAAGAAAAGAAAGAACAGAGGGATGGAAATTAGACTTTTCCTCGGGCGGCTAGGGCGCGGCCCAAGGTAAATGGAGCGGCTCGGCCGAGCTTAACGGGCCGGCCGGCCAAGACGGCCCAAGCGCGCGCGCGCGGGAGGGAGGAGAGAGAGTCCGGTGGACCGGGCTCACCACGCGCGGTCCCGGGTGGGACCCGCTTGTCAGCCGCTCGGCTCACCGTGCGGAGGGAGTACGTGGCTCATGCGCGCGGGCGGGGAAAGGACGCGGTGCACGCGCGCGGTCCGTGGTGGACGCAGGTGCGGCGGGCCCACGAGCAGCCTCACGGCTCGCGGTGGAACGCGCGCACGGGGAGGGACTGACCGGGGTCGGCTCGATCCGGTCTAGGCTGAGCTGGCGCCGACGTGGCGCCTACATGGCGGCCACGTGGGCTGGCGGGAGGTAGACGACGACCCGGCCACGAATGGACGGCGGGCGGCGGCGGCGAGCGGCGGAGCGAACCACGGCGATACGGGCAAAAGCGTGCACACCGGGCGGTTGCACGTGACAAGGGGAGACGAGCCAACGGCTCGGATTCGCCGGAGGTTGCTCGACGGCGGCGGCAACCGGCGGCGGGAGAAGAGGGAAACGGCGACGAGGTCACGAGAGGTCGATTCCCGGCGGTAAGAGCATCTATGCGGCTTCGGGAACTCGACGCTAGCGTCGGATTGGGGCGGAACTACGCCGAGCGAGGCCGGCGACGAGCGGGTGCTACGGAGCTCGAGCGGCGACGGCGGCGAACACACGGCGAGCGACGGCAACGGTCGGGGCGGCGCCGGCTAACTACGGGGAGGCTACTCAAGCTACTACCGAAAGCTAGGGGGAGGAGATGGAGCGAGGAGGAAGAACGGAGAGAGACATCACCGAGAAGAGGAGGGGTGCTGTGACGAGAGGCCGGCGGCGCGGGAGTAATCTCTCCGGCCTCGGGCCGGGGAAGAGGAAGGAGAGGGCGCGGCCGAAGTCCCCTTCCGCGTCCTCGAACGCACCGGCTCTCCCGGCGCTTGGCGAAGGACGGCGGAGGCGAGACAGAGCACGGGGGCGGCGGCAATGGTGAGGAGGCGAATGGGAGAGGAAGGGAAAGGGGGAGGCTTGGGTTTATAGGATGGCAATGTCGGTTTGGGAACTGACTTAGGGCGGTCAAGGGCGCGAGCTGGCGCTCGGCGGTCGCGGCCAAAGCGGCGACAGGGAGGATGACGCCGGCGAGGAGGAAAAAGGGGAAAAGGAGGGGGAGAAAGGGGGCTTGCCCCTTTGCCGATTCGGGAAAAAGGGGGGGAGGGGAGCGGGGGCGACACGGCAGAGAGAGGAGGGGCGCGGCCTCCTTCCCTTGGCGGCTTGCGCGCGGAGTGGCGGGGGCCGGGCGGTGACGACGGCGATGACGGCGGGCGGTTTGGAGCGGAGCGGCGACACTGGCGACAGGCGCGGCAGACGCTGACGACGGCGGCGACCGGGCGGTCGGCCACTCGGCGCGCGCGCGCGGGAAACAACGGGCGGCGTCCGCGCGGGCGCGCGCACGCGAACACGGCGCGCGGGAAGCGTCTTTGCGAGCAGGGAGCTCGCGCGAGGGGAGGGGCGCTCGGCGCGGGCGACTCCCGCGCACGCGCGCGCGGCGCGCGGGCGGGGCGGAGGGGGGAGCGGGGAGAGAGGCGCTCGGGGCGACTCTCGCACGCGCGAGCAGCGTGCGGGCGGGGAAGAGAGAGAGAGAGAGAGAGCGGGAGAGCGCCCGGGGGGAGAGGGAGAGATGGGCCGGGGAAGAGGGGAAGATGGGCCGAGCGAGATTCGGCCCATCGACCTCGGGGGAGGCAAAATAGACTTTTGAGGAGGAATTTGATTGAAAGGATTTGGATTCGGAATTGAACTCGACGATAGATCGGGGATTGAGATCTTGAGATGGCACGGACACTAGACAACAAGCAAAGAAACAAATTTCGCAATTAGGGTTTTTAAGAGATAATTTTCCCGCTAGGCGCCACGACGGAACGGGCGCTACACCCACATATGCTAATGGCGGATTAATTAGGCTCAAAAGATTCGTCTCGCGATTTCCAGACGAGTTATGAAATTAGTTTTTTTTATTTGTGTCCGAAAACTCCTTTCGACATACGGTCAAACATCCGATGTGACACCAAAAAATTTTCAATTCGCAACCTAAACAAGCACTAACTGATCTCTCTCTAGTGAGGGGTGCGACGTCGGTGAGGAAGAGGACAAAGTGCGAAGAGGGTTAATCTTAGTTGTTCGGCAACGGGACATTGTGTGAAAGTTTGTTTTGTTTTCCGTGTGCACGCTTCCCGAACTATAAAATGTATTTTTTGAAAACAAATTATGTGAAAGTTACTTTAAAAAATCATATTAATTTATTTTTAAAGTTTAAAATAATTTATACTCAATTAATCATGCGCTAATAGCTACTGTGTATCTTTTCTTCTCTTTTCCTCTCCTCTCGAGCTCACCTATTATTGGTCCATTCTAGAAGCAGGAGCCTATCTGCTCCGGAGTTGGATCCGAGCCGCCCGATCAGTAACGTGCGCAGCAGATTGACCAGAAAACTAGAAGAAAAACTCTATAAATATCCAAGGCCCGGTACTTTCCTAGCCAGCTGGCAGCCTCCAACCCGAAAGCGATATCAAAATTTGAAACCGCGCAGAGGCGGCAGCTTGCTCCACACGCCTCCGCCGTGTCGAGATTTCCGACTCGCCGGAGAGGAACAATGGAAGAGGACCGCCGGAGAAGCGCCGCCTTCGTCATGTCCGGCTTCAAGTCCTCGCCGACGGAGGCCACCGAGTCCACCCCGCGCGCCTTGCTCGCGCCTCCCTCCACCAACCGGCACGCCGACTGGCGGCGGCTCCCGGACGCCGCCGTCGCCCGCGTCCTCGACCGCCTCACCGTCCTCGACCTCTTCCGCCTCGGCTACCTCTTCTCCCCGCGCTGGCTCCACATCTGGCGCCTCCTCCCGCTGTATCTCCACGACCGCCAGTTCACCACTCCCCCGATCCCCGCCGGCAACGTCGCCCAAGCAATCACCAACGTCCTCGAGCTCCACGTTGGCAACGGCGTCCAATTCGTACCCAAACAAGGCGGCGGCGGCGGCGGCGGACATGGAGGCAACGAGGTAGCTGCCCCTGATGGTGGAGGCGGCGGTGGCGGACATGGAGGCGCCGACGACAGCAGCAGCGACGAGGAGAGCGGCCTCTGCGACGACGTCATCGCCCACGACGCCGCCATGCTAAACGGCGGCTTCGAGATCGGCCGCGTGTTCTGCTTCCGGGTAGAGACCACGCGGTGGAGCCTCGAGCAGCTCAACCGCTGGTGCGCCGCCCTCCATCGCGGCCGTGCTCGTGTCATCGTCGTCGCCAACCTCCACCTACCAGGGTACCCCAGATTTCCTCAAGCCCTCCTCGACTGCACCAGCCTCCTGGAGCTCCACCTCTTCTTCTTCACCGTGGAAGCCTACCGCATCGACAGGCTCCTCGTCCTCGGGCTGTACAGCTGCGCCTGGGGCCTCGGCATGATCGACCGAGCAATCCACCGCGAATCGGAGATTCGGGAGCTGGCAATCGACGGCGTCGAGGGGTCAACCTTCCGCCTCGCCGACACGCGCCTCCAGACTCTGCGCATGTACGAAAACCAGGTGGGCACGGTCGCCGTCGACAACGCCACCCGATTACGGAAGCTGCACATGCACCATACGTGGCCATCCAGGATCAGCATCAATGGCGCGCCCAGGTTGCGAAAGATCGTCTCTCTTGACCTCTTCACCACCGTCTTGGAGATCCAAGGCATAGTGATTAAGGTATATTTGCAAATCGATCGATCAACCTGCCCGCTTGCCCAACCAATTTGATTAACACCAATTCTGAATCTCTGATCATGCGTGCGCAGGCTGGGATGGTGGAGCAGCCTCCAGAGATCCGTTCTGTCAGGTATCTCGGCTTACGGGTGAACTACACAACGATGGTCGACATGTTGCCCCGCCAGATAGAGCAGATCCTGAGGAGTTTCCCACGCGTAAAATCACTGAAAATCCTGGTAATGCCAATGAACGGCCAATCTTATCCAATCAATTGTTGCATAATTCTGAATTTGCTGCTTATTAATTGCTCTGCACTGATATGTCTGAATTCTGATTTTTCTTGCTGAGTCGTGGTCTGAATTCTGAATTCGCTATCAATTCCTCTGCACAAAAGTGTGTGCATTTTGGTTTTCTGCCTGAGTTGTGGTCTGCATTCTTAATTTGCTGCTAATTAGTGATATGTCTTGATTCTGATTAAATTTGCTGTCAATTGCTCTGCACTAACTTGTACTATGCGTTTTGATTTTCTGATTTGAGTTGTGTTGTGCTCTATTGCAGAGATGCGATGACGTTACACAAGCAGAAGGGCTCCTCCAGTGGAACGATGCACACTATGACGGGAACAATTTCTTCGATGGCCTTGAGTGTTTCAACTATCACCTGAGGTGGATATATCTTACAGGTTTCAGAGGGGGCAAGTGTGAAGTTGCTCTGATGAAAGCCATGCTCGACAAAGCTAGTGTCCTGACACAGTTAAGGATGGAATACTCGACAGGAAGCCTCCCCCAGCTCACCCTGAATCAGCTCAACTTGTCTCTCCGGAATTTCAAGCTGCACACTCCAAATGGTGCCGTCAGAGGCGATCTTGTGTCCTTTGTTGCAGCTGATGCTTCCGGAAGTTGCGTACGACTAGCAGTGTAAGGCTAGGTCAGGTGTTGTTCTGTCTGTGCTCTACTTCGAGAGAGATTTAGGCTGGAGATGGATTCTAATAGCTCGAGTGGATGTCCACCCGTTTATTGCATGTCAATTAGATGATTACGAAAAATTTTTAAAAAAATTAACAAGATAGATCAATATGTAATATATCACTCCACAAACATGTAAGTTCAAATTCAACTTCTACAAATTATAACAAAAAATAACAAATTTAATTGTAAATATACATATAGTAATTTAAGTTTTGATTGTTATTTTTGTTACAACTTGTAGAAGTTGAATTTTAACTTGCATATTTATGGATTGATATATTACATGTTGATCTATCTTGTTCATATTTTTTCAATTTTTTTCATAACCATTTAGATGACATGCAATAAACGGGTGGACGTCCACTCGAGCTGTTAAAACAGTTTTCCATTTAGGCTAGCACTTCAATATCTTCAGTTTGTCTAGCTGTCAAATGATGCTAACTGCTGTTCTGCTAAGTGAGTGAATAAAGGGTAGTGGTGGTTTTTAAGAACTTTTATCATTTCGCACAGTGTTATTATTTGAACTAGAATAAGGGGAAGTGATGATTTTGAAGAACTGATATCATTTCGCACAGCATTACTATTTGAATTAGAACATATGTTTTCATATAGAGGGTAGTTGTTGGTTGGAACAATTTATGAGTGCTTTAATATATACTCCATAGTTCACGATATTTACGAAATGTGTCAGCTGGGAATATGGTACTGACAATTGGGGAATCATGTAGCCTTCATTCCCCAAATAGTTTATTAGAATGGTCTGTCTACCTCTTGCATATTTCCATACATGCTGTTGCATATTTTGTCAGGTCACAAGATAGCACCATACCCATCTTTACTTAATCCTAAAGAATTACTCATTTTTGTGAATTCTCTTGGTTTGCATGTTGAAGTGTACACAAATGAGATAAGCATCATGCACTTTCTTTGTGGACAAAGAAGTGGAAATTCTTTGCTTGAAATTATTATTGATGCTCACTGCCTACATATGAGAAGCTTCATTAGAGTGCCTACAAATGCAGTATATATGTGCAGTCGCAACAATTTTGTGTGTTAAGTCAGCCTACCACCAATTCTGAAGACACCACTTATCATGCTTAAACTCTGACTCAACTGGGCATGATCATCTTCCATATAGGTTAGATATCTGAATCTTGATCAGATCTGTGTTAACAATGCTATGAGCATCAATGATGCATTGATGCTAAGTGAATGATGATGCCCTCTCTGAGTCTGAACAATATGCTAGTATTGAGCAAAGTCAAGTCTTGACAGCAGTAAAAATGTACAGTATCTTCTTCCTGAGCTCCGGTCATCGCCACGGCGTCATCTCACCTCCTCGCCGATCAGTCAGTCACCCTCCGGCCGACGGACACCGGCCGGCGATGTCGAAGAAGAGATAGATCAATGGAGAATTGGAAATGAGAAAACACACACTGGCAAATGGATGGCTTCTTCGTTGTCCCGGCCGCATATCCTTTCCTATGGCTTTCTTTAGTTAGTGTGCCAAAAATTTTATTAAATATACGGACACACATTTCAAGTATTAAACATAGACTAATAATAAAATAAATTCTAGATTCCGCCTGTAAATTGCAAGACGAATTTATTAAGCCTAATTAATTCGTCATTAGCAAATGTTTACTATAGCATTACATTGTCAAATCATTGCGTAATTAGGCTCAAAAGATTTGTCTCGCAATTTACAGTCGGATTGTGCAATTATTTTTTTTCGTACACATTTGATGCTTCATATATGTATCCAAACATTTGATGTGACGGAAAAGTTATAAGTTAGAAGAAAAAAGTTGGAATCTAAACACGGCCTACGTAGGCCCAACAGAAAATTGAATCTCGTATATCTGGTTCTTGGGCCTATATTATCCATCAGTCCATCACAGTTGTTGAATCATTCTTGGGCTGTTAGGCTAATTGCCTAGTAGAAATAAAACATTAATACCTTTCTCAATGACTCGATCACAGTAAATCCTAGGCGAAATTTGGTATGGTCCACTCTTCTAAAAGATGTCTTTTCGAGATATGTTACCTGCTACCTCTGTCACAAAATATAGCTACATTTTTACTACACTCTTATTTGGACCAAACACAATCATTCAATTTTGTTTCATCTTACTTCTGTGCTTGTATTTTAGAACGGAGAAAATACCTTATTAAACTTAAATACTACTAGACCCAAATCCTCGTTACTTTTAGATTTTTTTAAAAAAAGTTTCCTTTTTATTAGCATTATCCTTTTCATTTAATTTTTCCTCGCTTCCTGTTCTCTCTGCCCATTGGAAATGGATCAAACTGGTTTATATCAATTCGATCAGCTAAGCGAGAACTGGCGAAACAGGTGGACTGAATGACATGCGGGCCCATCAGTTCTTTTATTTGACTGGGATGCCACGTAAGTAACAGGTGGATAGGATGCAAATTGAACAGTTTATAAAGTTGACGAGTAAATGGTGTTCAATAAATCAATAATATAAAAAAATAACACTTTCTCCCCATATAAATTCCATCTAGCGTAAGGAGGAGATAGGGAATAATCAAATCAGCACGGAACGTGCAGGCATAACTTCAACTTAAAAGTCAAATTATATGCATGGATATTCAATTCAGTCCATAATGTGATTAATCAAATAATTCAATGTGTGTAGTACATTGACTATGCGTTGGACGCTTAAATTCATTGCAACTAATCCAATGTTTATAGAAAATCAATACCTAATATAACCCATTTTTGTTGATTTATTTTCAAAAATATAATTTCAATTATTCTTCTTCTTTCTTTTTTCCATTAGCATTCCAACTTTTCGAAAACCTTCATGATATTTTGAAAGTAGAGGTCATAGCAACTTTTTTACGAGTCGGGCACACACGCGCACACACATTCACGTGGTTAGGAACTAATACTCCAATATGGAGTATCTCTAAAGATACCCCTAATCTGTGTTCTTCTCTCAACTTTTCCAAACCTCTCGTCTCTCAACTTTTTCAAACCTATCATCTCTTATTTTCCATACGTATGTTTCCCAAACTACTAAACTGCGTGTTTTTTTAAAAAATTTCTATAGTAAAATTGCTTTTAAAAAAATATTAATTCATTTTAAAAGTTTTTTTTAACTAACGCTTAATTAGTTATGCTCTAATTCTTTGCTTAGTTTTCTGTGTCAAGAGGCCTCAAAACTCAGCTCTAAAGTCTAATATTTTTTAGTTGATCCTTTTTTTAACAAAAAAGAAATTAAAAATGCATTTTGAGTTTCCTCCCCCTTTTAATTTGCATTTGCATATTTTTTTCTAAAAATTAATTTATGCCTCCCACATATTTGGACTAGTGGCGAGTAGACAAACCATTTTGCTGTTTGTTTACACGTCAAACTCGTCGTCGGCCTCCCCCTCACCACCTTCCGATTCCCCTTTCTCCCATTCGCACGGCTTCTTCGTCTTCTTCTCTTCCCTCCTCTCGCCCACCCCCCCTCGCAGATCTCGCCGCGCTCTCCTCCTCCTCCTCCTCCTCCTCCTCCGCCGCCGTCTCCGCGAAGTCGTTCCCGCCGCCGCCGCCGCGGGCACCGCCCACGCGCTCCGTTCCGGCAGGCGGCGCGCGCTCGCTCGCTCGCTCTTGGTGTCTCTGGAGAAGAAGCGGAGAGAGAGAGAGAGAGAGAGGTGGAGAGGAGGGAGGGGGTTTGCTGGGGTAGTCTCTAGAGGCTCCCCCTGCTGCCGCCATCGCCGTCGACGGCTCCTCCTCCCCTCCCCCGGTGGAGATCCGGGGTGGTGTTCCTCGGTAAGCGGGATTGGTTTTGGTTCCGGATTCGCCTCGCGGTGGGGGCTATCCGTTTGGTGGGGCGCGGCGGGATGGATCCCGTCGTAATCCGCTCGCGAGGGTAGAGCTGTTCGTCGTCGCTAATGCGGGGGGTTTCGCGTTGTTTGCAGGGTTCACGCATAGGAGGTGGCGGCTGCGCGCGCAGAGGCTCGGGGGCGAGGGCGGCGGCGCGGGCGAGATGAAGGGGTCGGCCATCCCGGCGGTCGCGATCATGCCCTCGCCGCTCTTCCTCTGGCGGTTCAAGGTATCGTGGCCTTCTTCAGCTCAACTCATGGTACACTGATACGGCGAGGCGATGGATTTAGCGCCGATTTGGTTGCAAGTGCCAGTTGTCTCCTTTGCTTAATTTTACCTGCTTGGGGTTATCGCAGCGCGACATTGCTATGTAGTTGTAAAATAATCAATCATGTTATGTGTTTGTCCTGGAGTATAGTTTGGTCAATACCTTGCAACTGCGGTAAAGGGTATCACAGGAATCACGGAGGAATTACTTACCTTTGCTCAAAGCTAATCGCAGAGATGACTACTACTCATAGTTGGGAAACATTATTGGATTGAGGAGAAGTGATCTTACTTCATAGGGTCTAGTCTTTTCCAGATATTTGTCCTACACATTAATATTTCCCTCCTTCCTGCTACTGATGCATAAACCCCATTTTATCTGTACCATTAATTGTAATAAAAGGAAATCGAGAATCATGATTTATCCTTTTCTTCTAAATGAAAACTGAAGAAGAGTAAAACTCATCTCATGTCTTATTCTTGGCTTCACTGGGATGTGCTTTTATCCTTGACGGACCAAGATAATAGTGTTGACTTCCCTTGAAATATATGGCAGGAAATAGCATTAATCTTGGCATGCATAATGAAATGGTCTTTCAGGAATGCCAATTTTCACTTATGTTTTCTTCTACAGCTTAACTTTGAACTGCATCTGAGAGGCATGATAGAAACTACACATTAGTGCAGTGTACAATTCTTTACTCCCGTGTTATTATGTAACTGAATATAAGGAGTATTTAGTACAAAAGTTATCCTAAGCTCTTGATTCTGCATTTACGTGCATCAATTTTACTTCTCTAATCACTGATAAACCCATCCATTTTTCAGGTTGTATTGTTTCTCCTATGGGGTTTATGCTGTTGCAAGGTATTCTCGCTTTGATCTAACCATATCTTTTTTCTTGATATGATCTGAATCTCTTGTTGTAGTTCTAATTCACATATTATTTTGGTGTTACAGATAGGTTGGGACTCTGTTATGAGAATGAGTGCTGATCTGCGAGACTTATTTCTTTACGAAGCTTTCTTATACTACAATCCGCTTCTTCTTGTGGTAAGTTTCTTTTGTGAAGTATGTATGACAATCTCAAGGGCCATTACTGTAGAAAAGACAGCAAATGAAGGCACTTCCTGATCGTTTTGTACTTGTGGTTCATGTTTTTGTTGTAGGCTCTGATGATTTGGTTATGGGGAGTAAACCTGTGGGTCTTTGCACAATCATCAGTGAATTACGCAAGGGTGTTTGATCTTGCACAAACACATTTATCGCATCGAGAAATATGGAGGGTATGCTTATCTGATTCTCCTGGTTGCACTTTCTGTTTATGAGCTTAACTTGATTTGGATTTTCATAAGTTTTCTCCCTTTCAAAATGCATCTGCTCTGACATAGTTTGCTATGTACAAATTTGTATGTCTGGCATACAGTTGCTGTCATGACAATGAAAGGGTTCAAAGTTTGTCTATGCCATGCCCATGTTTGGGAAAAGTTTGCAATATTTTATTTAATTGTCAACCCATCAGGATTTATTGTGCTAGATGCATTTTACATTTGCTGCTTCATATTCATATGTGCACTTTTCTCTGGTGTTGTGTTATTACTTGATTTTGTCATATTTTTGGCTAATGCAATCTTCATCTTTTTATTTCATTAACAGTGTGCTACTTGGCTTACTTTGATTGTTCCCACGAGTATGACAGCTTACCTATATTTGTACTCACATGGAGAAGTGTCCCTTGCTGCATCTCAACCAGTGTAATATCTAACCCATTAATTAGTTCATTTCATGCCTTGTTCCTCTTGTGTGCTTGAGCTCATGATTTTTTTTTTGTGTACTTAATGTTTGGTTATATTGTTGGTAGTGCTTACCAATAGTCAATTTGTGTGTAAGAGTATCGCGTTCCCAAAGCTCTCAAAAGGAACACTGCACCTTTCTTTAGCATCAACTGTTACTGTACTTGTGCTTTGATTTTCCTTAGTCAAATAAGTGGAAAGTCTCATCTAGTACAATAAGACTTTTTATGCAAGACAAACAAATTTTATGAGTGATGGATGGTTTAATTATTAGAATGAACCTAAAGGTTTGTACGCACTGTTTCTTTTTTACTTGTCATTTACGTCATCGGCATGGTCACTAATACACGTATTTAACCATTCTTTTACTAACCATATGTACTGATGAGTGATGACATTCTCAGTGACAAGTCCTAGTACTTCTGTATGTACTTGAAGTTTTTTTTTTACCCTGTATATACTTGAAGTTTGTCTGCATATGTTTTAAAACAAAACCAATTTAAGAACACTAGGTGTAGGGTATATTGCCTTCTTGTTTGTTCACCATGTTGAAGATGAAACTATCATGCAGTGTTGTCATGTATTGTATCATGCCGTGCCAATTCCAGGGTGGTGGAACTAACATATCTTTCTGCCTATTTTCAGGTTCTTTTATATGCTATCCTTCTTATAGTCCTCTTATCTCCTTTTGATATGTTTTACCTGTCGTCACGCTTTTACTTTCTGAGGACAGTGTGGCGTATAATGCTTCCATTGCAAGTAAGTTGTACAATTTGTTAGTAAGGGGTGTGGTAGTTTTTGTTTTTAGCTGTGCAACATGCACTATGCTACTGCCTGTTGTGACTAAGCATATGCCTTTTATGTCCTTGCTGTGGAGCCAGCAATTAGATCAGACTAACTTTTTTGATGGTTTCCTTCCCCCCTGTTCTGCAGGCAATTACATTCCCCGACTTCTTTTTGGCTGATATTTTTACATCCATGTCAAAGGTATGGAGCAATTTATTTAAAATTGTTGGTTGTGGATTGTTTTGTGTACATTATTTCTGTATAGAGAATATAGGGAAAGACTTACTGTCTAATACTATATGATTCTCTGTTTGGCCTCTAGGATTTAATGTGTACAATGTTCTCTACAAATTAAAAAAGCACTACATGACATGCTATATTTTAGTTTGTAGAGAACTGTTTCTTGCTTGTATTTGGCCTGAGTTAGCATTCATGATACTTGGTATTTTACCATTTTGCCTAATTGTTGCATTTCTTCACAGGTCTTCTCAGACTTGGAACGTTCAGTTTGTCGCATGGTCAATCGGCAGGTTAATTTCTTATACTTACTTTTTTTGTGGGGAATTTCTTATACTTGCTGTTGTGCTATGTGCATTATGTCCTCAATGGTCTCTAAGTGACTGTCAAACGACATGCCATTGGCTTATATTGACAGTTGTAAATTATTGGTATAACTCATCTCGTTCCTGTATAATGTGTTCATTATTATGATATTCTACAGGTTGCAACGACCGCTTGGCTTGAAGCAGATTCAATTTGTGGCAGCCATTCTGTAGCTATTCCTCTAGTTCTTGTGTTCCCTTATTTGTGTCGACTCTTCCAATGCCTTCGACAATACAAAGATACAAAGGAGAAGACTTGTCTTCTTAATGGTATTTACTGATTGTTACTTGTTGCAATTATGGCTTGCTTTAAAAAAATGATCTAGAACGCATTCGTCCCATGTTTGCTACCAGTTCCTCTAACCAACAAACATTTGTCTCAAATCCAGCACTCAAGTACTCGACAGCGGTTCCGGTGATTTTCCTTTCAGCTCTCAAGTATCATGTATTCCCTGACAAGTGGGTTAGCTTTTATCGACCCCTCTGGCTTATGTCCAGTGTTATAAATTCGCTGTATTCCTTTTACTGGGATATAAAGCGAGATTGGGATTTGAGGTGTGCTATCTTCACATGATCTTTGTTTTAGAGCTTCAGCATGTGTTTTCACATCTCAGTTGCTGCTAATAGTTTCTTTTCTCTGCAGCATCTTAACTAGGATTTTCATGTTCAAAAACCCAAGTACATGGACTAACCTTCTTTATGGGCAGATCTGGGTATGAGCTCAAACATATACATGATTTTAGTTAGTCCAGATAGGCTCTTTTGTCACCAAGTCCTTTTATGATTGTTTTACAGGTATATTACTGGGTGTTAGCCAGCAATCTTGTGCTCCGCTGTACATGGACGTACAAGCTTTCAGCACATCTTCGGCACAACTACCTGACAGTGTTTACAATAGCAGCGCTGGAAATATTGAGGCGGTTTCAGTGGGTGTTCTTCCGTGTCGAGAACGAGTGGAACAAGATGACAGCCAAGCAGAGTCTGGAAATGTCATCTGACATGCCCTCTGAAGGAGACAGGCTTTTGGATTCAAATAGTCATACAGTATGAACTACGAACCGCAGGTCTCATATTTTGTGATACCGATTCATCATTCTTTTAGTGACCCTTATAGCCCGATTCAAGTCGAAAATTCTGTTTTGTTTGTAGAGGCCAAAAGGTCAGGGTTACATGATAGGTTTCTATAAAAATTGATATTCTTGGCACACTACATATGCAATCCTTTTGGCTATATATATATATATATATATATATACCATTTGTAATCCCATTGAATCCAAAGAGGTGTTTGTTGACAGTTGACACATCAAAGAGGAATATTAATACCAAAGATTTTACATGTTATTATGATTGTTATATGACTTAATACTAATTGACATCTCCTTTGCAATTCGACTGTGCTTATGAATCTCTATAAAAAGTTTCGAGCGAGAGACAAATCTGGAGTTGAATGAATTTTGGGGGGGCCAATTTGCTATTTCTAGCCCAGCTCGCTTTCAACAAATGTGCTAATCCTCCATAGATATAACAATTGTTCGAATTAATATCTGATTGACGTAGGGACCATATCTACCAAACATTTGAATCAAGGCTGATAATTTAACGGGGTTAGTGTTTAATTAATTGCAACAAGCATCATGTCGTATTTGTTTATCCCATGGTTGGTAAAGTGCCCTCTGCGCCAGACAAACTGCTTATGCAAGCAAACTGTTTCATATTACCAGTACCAGATATTTGATGGCCTCCTGGCTGTGACCAGATAACAAGTCACATCACCTATAACGGACGCCCATGAAACGGCCAATAAGCCTAATTTAACTGTTAAATTATAACACTAATCAGTGTGTCCACCCACAGAATGGATGGATGGATGGATGTATTTATTTATTTTTCTGATAAGCAAACAGATGCACTGAGAATTCAATTAGACATGATTCATCGTTTGCTTATCCTTGAGGATGGCACCAATCACAACCCAACATAAGAAAGCACTGAATTCTCGCACCATATGCTACCATCCATTCACCATCCATGTAGATTCATATATAGCATGACCAATCGACCATAAATACATACACACATACAGAACATACACTGGGCAGTACAGCCAGTACTAATACACACACTTGACACTCCTAGCTAGAAGCCTAAACAAAAGCATCCACTAAGCCACTAATTAGGTTCCTAATTACTTTCTATTATTCTTGGTGGTCACCATGGACATCGATCATATCCATGCATGCTTCATCCTCCATGGCTCCATGGATGTATGAGACCATGATTCCATCATGATTGATCTGATCGATCTACACAAGAATCAATGGACATTGCTGCGGTGCACGACAGCACGAGCTGATTAAGCTAGGAAGCTACGGCGACGAGAAGGCGTCGTCGAGCCAGGCGAGCCGCTCGCGGCCCTTGTCCGCCGCCGTCTCCGGCGGCGGCGCCGCCTGCTGCTGCTGCGTCAGGAGGAGAGACTGCAGCGACTCGCGGAGGCGGTTGGCTCGCCGCCGGTGGCGGATGCGCCGGAGCACGGCGTCCTTGTCCAGCGCCCCCGCGCCGGGCTCCGGCCTGTGCAGGTACAGGCAGCTCGTCACCGGCGGCGCCGCCCCTCCCGCGCCGCCGTCCTCGTGCCTCGCCGTCGCCGGCGGCGAGTTCTTGGACACCATGGACGCCATGATATCGAAGGCCGACTAGCTTCTTGTGTTAAAGAGTGCAAGGAGTGTATATGGACAATGGACAAGCTAAGATGAGAGTGAGAGTGATTAGCAAGTGAGCTGTATTTATACATGGTTTTAGGAGGAGCTCAAGATTAATTAATCAACTAATCACCTAATGAAAACGACATGTACTTAAACCAAGAAGATCAAAACAGGTAGCTGTAGGACATGGTTTCACGTGTCAGGGCTAAGCTGATGAATTGTTTTTTCTTCGGTTGTTTTTGTCCATTGATGGTGATTAGACGAATTGTCCAGAACATTCGAGTGATCCCTTTACCCCAAAGGTAATTAGGTAAATGCCACGAGTAGGTATGTGAATAAAGTTCAGCATCACTTTTTGACGTCTTCAGCCTGAAATCCCGTCTTCCGTTTCAGTTTCCTAGAGATTCAGATTAAAGAAGGCTAACAGCTAGTGCTGCTAAGTCATTTTTTAGGGCTGTTATTAGTAAGTTATTAGTAGGAGTGAGTGACAACTGAACAAAGCAATGGGTACAAGTAACCGGCCAGTGATTGACTGAGGAAGAAAATAACACTGAATTGGCCGGACACGTGAAGATCACATGAAGAGAATCGATTCTTTTGTCATAAACCTGTCACACGCTAGCAACAGAGAATCACTTTTCCATCGAGGACACTTTTCTCCTAGCAACATTAATGCTTCTAACTTAATTAGTCGAATGCACAGTAGTACGGTTTCATTAAACTATGTGCAAATAGTAAACTAGGTGTGGTTAACAGTATTACAGTAACCCACCGTCCAAACATGTAGTAGAATTAGTTTGCAGAGTTACCTAGGTAAATGCCTCTCCTGGTCTTTTGAGTTTTGACTCTTGTGCTCTGTACTTCTGCAGTGGATAAACCTTCAAAATACTGATAATTAGATTCCAATGAATCTGTATATATACTGACTGACAGCAGTGATCTCTGATGACCGACCGACCGACTGACTGTGACCGTGTTTAGTTGTTTTGGTAAAAAAATTTTAACGTATAAGGACACATTTGATACTGTGTAATTGGTTTTTTTTCGTCCATATTTAATACTCTATATATGTGTCTAAATGATGAAATTTTTGAAAGTTTACACACTGCCCATATTACCTTCAATTTAGGATTACTCTGAACAAAAATGAAAGGAACATCTCTGAGAAAAACAGGACATTCAACGGTGAAGTTATCTCATTTCTGTGCTGCTGCTTAATCAGGAGGGGCCAACCGGCCAAATACTGTCACCATTAATCAACAAACTATGAGAAAGTGAATGCCTAAACAAACCTGTGTGCTGTCAGGAAATTTAGCAATATGAATACAGATCGATGTCATGACGTGTCAAGTTCTCAATATTTTTTTAAAGGGGCAATTGCATCAGTGCCCCTACTTTCGAAGCCAATTGCTGTTTTACTCCTACTACTTTCTAGGATTTGCAGTTTTACCTCTACTTTTTAATCTGAATGAGCAGTGTACCCCTACTTTTAAGAGCAGGTTTTAACGGTGTTAGTTGCAGAGAAAAGGACATTTACACCCTAGGTGGTTATTGTATTTTTGCCCCCATTTTTTTCAACTTTGTGTGATTTTGCCCTTATTTTGTAAATTCAGCTTGTAAGTAATTCAAATATGAGCATATGTTGTGATGTTTTTGTATTTTCACCAAAAAAATCACAAATACTATACACTTACAAAATCTGACCAAATTTTGAATAAAATTTCGACAGCATTTCAATAGCATTTCGATAGAATTTTGACGAAACTAGCACAAGTCACATTGATAGGATTTCCTCCATTCCCAACAAATTCCTCTTTTCTGCCCGCCTCCAGCCGCCTACCTCGTCTCGCCCTCCAGCCGGATAGCTCGTCGCTGGGAGCAGCCGCCTCCGCGTGGAAGAGCTGCGACCGCCGACACCTTCGGGGAGCGGGCGTCGGCTGGCCCTCGACGCGGCAGCCGTCGCCGCCAGCACGCCCTCGGCCGCCGCCACCTCGCGCACGGCGCGCCCGCGGCGGCCGCCAACTCCTCGCCGCGCGCGCCCTCGCCGCCACCTCCGCGCCGTGCGCGCGACCTCGCCGCCGACTCCGCGCCGCGCGCTCGCCCTCGCCACCACCACCGCTGCCCTGCGCGCTAGGGTTTCGACCGCCGCTGCAAACTGATGCACGTGGTGGGAGACGCATGGGGTGGGAGATTCAAAGCCTTATCCATTCCTTTAGGGGTACAAAGGTAATTTCGTAATTCCTAAAACCTTTTTTTTATTTTCTTTTGTATTTATTTAACACACAATATGGGACCCACCAAACGGCTGTCACAAGTGGGGATAGACGGCTGTTTCAGATTAAAAAGTAGGGGTAAAACTGCAAACCCTAAAAAATAAGGATAAAATAACAATTGGCTTTTAAAGTGGGGCACAGATATAATTATCCTGACAAGTACTCAGGCATCCTTTTTTGACAAAGCAATAAAGCAACGATAAATGGCTATCTGCTTTGCGGTAAAAGTGTAAAACCTGCGCTAGCAAGTGTGGTTAATTGCTTAATTGCGGGCCACGGCCAGTGTCAAGAAATTCCTTAACAATGGATATTACGATGTGCATATACCTGAATGGAATAAGTTCATCTGAGGTATCTAAATTTGTTGACGAATTCGGTTTTTATTCTTCAACAGAAAAACTAGATACAACATGTTCCTTAATTATCAAAATCGGTACTCTCTCCGTCAAAAAAAAAAAGACAACCTAAGAGACGTATAATAAATCTAGAGGTGTCACATCCCCTCTTAGTTGCTTTTTTTTTTATGGAGGGAGTACAACATAAGTCCAATTTGAAAGGCGTTTTTGTTTAATATAGCGCCTACGTGACTTCTTTGACTAGGTATTCGTCCCACGTGACATTGACGTAGCGCTTACGTGGTAATTCAATCTAAGAAAAATAATAAAAATCATATATCAGCTACACATATAAAATAATAATAATAAATAGTGGAGCCCATGTAGCCCCACGTGTCATTCTCACTACTCTAGTATTCTCTCTAGCCTCACTCCCTCTCTTCTCTGTATGCCCTCTCTCCGGCCGATGAAGCGGGACAGGCGGCGGGCGACTGAAGCGAGCGACGGACGGGGCGGAGTGGCCGGCCGCCGGAGTGGGGCGGGCGGGCGGTCAGCGGAGCAGGTTGGCGGCAAGAAGGGTGCCAAGGCTGCCTTTCCCGACGAAGACGACTACTAGCCCCCACGTCACTGCCCCACCCGGACAAGATCGGAAAGAAGAGACACTACATCTTTACTGCCATGAAGATTTGACTTGTCCAATGCTAGTATATTGTTCAGACTTACTTTCTCCGTTCCATAAAAAACCAATATAAACCAATATAGTACCGGATGTAACACATCGTAATACATCGTCACATACATATGTTCATATCTTCTATTATATACTAAAAGTCCATTAGATTTTCTAGAAACGCTCTCATACCGCCATGTGACACCCTACAAACACTCCTATGCCGCCACGTGGCGCTCTAATAAATTTAGAATTCTAAAATAAATCTAACCGTTAGTTTTCATTTAATCTGGTGGACCCATTATTTTTTACCATTGGATCTATAATAAAAATAACCAATCCGATTTATCTTAAATGGCCCACGTAACCCCCATAGGTGGATAGGTGCATGTACGTACGTACGTACGTCATGCACGGCCCTACGTTCATCTTTTCTCCTTTTTTCTTTTTTCGATCACAAGAATAAAAACCGAATTAATTATTTCAGCCCATAGATATTAAATCCAGCCTATATATATGCAAAAATATATGTACATGCCAATAATATATTATTTTTTTCATATATTATATATATTATTTAGTACGTTGGGCCCCAAATAATAATTATTAATCTATCTATCTATTATATACTAAAAGTCCATTAGACTTTCTAGAAACGCTCTCATACCACCATGTGGCACTCTACAAACACTCCAATGCCGCCACGTGGCGCTCTAATAAATTTAGAATTCTAAAATAAATCTAACCGTTAGTATTCATTTAATCTGGTGAACCCATTATTTTTTACCATTGGATCTATAATAAAAATAACCAATCCGATTTATCTTAAAAGGCCATAAACCGCCGTGTGGCATCTACAAACGCTCCTAAGCCGCCACGTGGCATTCTAATAAATTTAAAAAAAATACTATAAATCCGGAGAAAAGAACATCTAACTATCCACTTTCACTTAAATTGATGGGCCCATTATTATTTTAACCGTCAGATTTAATCTCATACAAACAGAGAGATGGAAAGAAAGACCACGTACCTTCCCCACCTCTCCCCTCAGTCGTTGCATTTGCCCTCTCCCCCCGTACACCCCTCTCTCTCCCTCCCCTCTACGTATAATTCTTTTTTCCTATATTAGCTAACGGCGGAAATTCGATTGAAAAATTTCAACATTTGTAACATCTAAATCATATATCCTGAAAAATAAACATCTACCCTTTAATTTTTATTAAAATTAGTGGACATAACACTTCAAGCCATTAAATCAGATTTATGTTTTCTCATCCTTAAAAAAAAAAAACGTACATCCTCCTCTCTGTTTTCTTTTAGGAAATCCTCTATTTTTTTTCCCTCACATTCTCTCTTTATGAAAGCTTTTGCAACAATAAATTTTAAATAAGCATACTTCTAAATACATAATATTTGCAACAGTAAATTTTAAATTATACTAACTTTTTAACTTTTAAATTATAAGTTCAATTTTTTTATCTATTTGTACCATTGTGTTATTTATGATTAAAATCACAATTAGAATTTAAGACACATGTTGACTATATTTTAAATTGTAAAATTATATTCATTTAAGTTTTGTTGAGAACCTTTACATGTTATTCAAACATATATGAACAATTATTAAAAGAAAGTGACATTATATACTATTTCATCATATATCACTTCACCAGCATGCATAACTAAAACAGATTTATGAACTTCAAAAAGTTCTAAAAATTCTGAATTATGAGAAAAACAAAATATAGATTATACCATAATTTGATGCATCACAAAACATGCATAACTAAATAAGATTTACTTAAAAAATAATGAGTCATATCCTAGCTGTTTGTCCACCTATATATCATTCAGAGCTTAAGATAGAAATGACCTATTATGTACCAAATTCTACTTGATAAGGCCATAGAAATTATATGGAAGTAAAGATAAAGCTAAATTTTATTTCTATATAACATGATAATATGTTCAGTTTTAGAACAAGCAAGCAAAAGCTGCATGTGTATTGTCCTGTGTATCTATCTATTATATATGAAAAATCCATTAAACTTCCTAAAAAAAACTCTCAAGCCGCCACGTGGCATTCTAATAAATTAGAGAAAACCTTACAAATTTTGAGAAAAAAGAAAAACATCCAGCCCTCGATTTTTATTTAATTCGGCGGACCCACTATTTTTAAACCATTAGATTTATTTAAAATACATCTCAAATAATAATATATATGCGTACTTCCGTACTATACTACTCACGGCAAAAAAAAAGAAAAAAACGTAATTACCATTGTAAGAAGAAGGATTAACCCTACCACAGTCCCACCTAATTGGTACGAGAGAAATGTATATACGTACTGTTCACCCAAAAAAACCCAAAAAACTATAAAAAAGTTCTCACATGTACAATACGTACTACTATCCACCGGATTGAGAACAAAAAAAATATCCTGGGCATGTACATACTACGCACCGTCAACCCGTCCCTAATAAAGTTATCAATAATGTTGGATATTTTCTTGAGAAACAAAGTACAAATGTGGGCACTCACAACGCACGTACACTTACCCCTACGAACGCACACACGTACACTACCCCTATGAGTACCTCTGAGAGATTGGGCCGATATATTTTGAGATCGACAAAGTCACCATGAATGCCTCGCTGTCGATGGATACGTCGTCTGAAAGAATTTGTCAAGTCCGGGACTTGAATATGAGTAGGAAATTTCCACCACAAGGAACCTAACCAGTTGAACTATGTTCAATTCAAAATAATGTTGGATATTAAAACAACCATTTAAACCAGTGAAACCATTATTTTTAATCGTTAGATCTATCTTATATAAGAAAAACAATCGTTTATTCATGGTACATCACATTTCAAAAATATTATTGTGCAATTATATTCACGTTAGGTTGCGTAGAACCTCTTACCCACTCTACATGAAATGTTTATAGATGGATTGTCTCTCAAACTATATCAATCATATTATGCTATATAAAATTTAGTGGAGTTTCATGTGCCACCAAATTCATCCTCTAATAAACCATGATAATATATATGCAATAAAAGAATGAAAAACACACTACTTTTGCTTTACACTTACTTTTACTTTCGTTGAAATATTTTCTAAAGAAAATAAGTCTACCTTCTTTTCAAATGACGAAGAAGATTAGAAATAATTGCTTATAGATATTACTTAAATATGATATAATATAAAGCTAATAGGTTAAAAATTATAAAACCAACTAATGTTAAAAAAATTACGGAGAAATCGGGGTAGATGTTCTCTGGTTAATATATCGCTTTTAGTGTCTCAAACTTAGTGTACGACGCATGCCCACGCATTCGCGCGGGCTACCTTCCTAGTTTATATAGTAGTAGGATATGTCACATCTGGTTTTAGATTCTTTTTTATATGACGGAGGGAGTAGACAGCAGCATCATCATTCACTTAGCATCAATGCATCATTGATGCTCAGAGCATCATTCACTCACTTAGCAGAATATCAGTTAGCATCATTTGACTAGCTAGACAGACTGAAGAAATTGAAGAGCCAATCTAAGATTCTCTCTCTCTCTCGACAAAGCAGAGCACAGACAGAACAACACCTAACCTTAGCCTTGCGCTGCTAGTCGTACGCACCTTCCGGAAGCATCAGCTGCAACAAAGGACACAAGATCGCCTCTGACGGCATCATTTGGAGTGTGCGTCTTGAAAATCCAGAGAGACAAGTCGAGCTCATTCAGGGTGTGCTCGATGAGGCTGCTTGGCAATGGCGAGTACTCCATCCTTAACAGTGTCAGGACTCTAGCTTTGTCCAGCATGATTTTCATCAGAGCAACTTCACACTTTCCCCCTCTGAAACCTCTAAGATATATCCACCTCAGGTGATGGTTGAAGCTCTCAAGGCCATCGAAGAAATTGCTCCCATCATAGTGTACATCGTCCCATTGGAGGAGCCCTTCTGCTTGTGTAACGTCATCGCATCTCTGCAATAGGGAAGCACAACACAACTCAATCAGAAAATCAAAATGCGCACACACTAAAAAATTCAGATCACAACTCAATCAGAATAACCAGAATTCAGACGTATATCACTGCAGAGCAATTGATTAGCAGCAGATTCAGAATTCAGACCACAAGTCCACAACTCATTACTCAATCAGAAAACCAGAATTCAGACATATCACTACTGGAAAGCAATTAATTAACAGAAAATTCAGGATTATGCAAACAATTGATTGGATAGGATTGTCTGTTCATTGGCATTACCCAGATATCCAGTGATTTTACGCGTGGGAAACTCCTCAGGATCTGCTCTATCTGGCGGGGCAACATGTCGACCATCGCTGTGTAGTTCACCCGTAAGCCGAGATGCCTGACAGAACGGATCTCTGGAGGCTGCTCCACCATCCCAGCCTGCGCATGCATGATCAGAGATTCAGAATTGGTGCTAATCAAATCGGTTGAGCAAGCGGGCAGGTTGATCGATCGATCGATCGGGTTTCATTTGCATACCTGAATCACTATGCCTTGGATCTCCAAGACGGTGTGGAAGATGTCAAGAGAGATGATTCTTCGCAACCTGGGCGCGCCATTGATGGCGATCCTGGATGGCCTCGTGTCGCGCATGTGAAGATTCCGCAGCTCGACGGCGTCGTCCACGGCGACCGTGCCCACCTGGATGTTGAACATGCGCAGAGACCGGAGGCGCGTGGCGGCGGCGGCGACGACGGCGATGGTTCCCCCCATGGCGCTGTGGATTGCGAGCTCCCGGATCTCTGATTCGGGGTGGAGGACTCGCTCGATCATGCCGGGTTCCAGGACGCAGCCGTACAGCCCGAGGCCGCGGAGCCTGTCGATGTGGTAGGCTTCCACGGTGAAGTAGAAGAGGTGGAGCGCCACGAGGCTGGTGCCGTCGAGGAGGGCTCGAGGAAGGCGGGTGTGCTCTAGTAGGTAGAGGTTGGCGAGGACGACGACGCGAGCACGGCCTCGCCGGAGCGCGGCGCACCAGCGGTGGAGGTGGCCGTTGCGCCATGGCGTGGTCTCTACTCGGAAGCACCAGACGCGGCCGATCTCGTAGCCACCGTCGTCGTTGGCGGTGACGTCGTCGTAGATGCCGTACTCCTCGTCGTCGCTGCTGACGTCGCCTCCTCCGCCATCCCGGGCAGCTACCTCGTTGCCTCCATGTCCACCGCCACCGCCACCGCCGCCGCCGCCTTGTACGGGTACGAATTGGACGCCGTTGCGAACGTGGAGCTCGAGGACGTTGGTGATTGCTTGGGCGACGTCGTCGGCGGCGATCGGGGGAGCGGCGAACTGGTGGTCGTGGAGATACAGCGGTAGGCGGCGCCAGATGTCGAGCCAGCGCGGGGAGAAGAGGTAGCCGAGGCGGAAGAGGTCGAGGACGGGGAGGCGGTCGAGGACGCGGGCGACGGCGGCGTCCGGGAGCCCCCGCCAGTCGGCGTGCCGGTTGGAGGGAGGCGCGAGCGTGGCGCGCGGAGTGGACTCGGTGAGCGCCGCCGGCGAGGACCCGATGCCGGACATGACGGAGGTGACGCTGCTCCGGCGAACGTTGTCCATTCCTCTCTCCGGCGAGTCGGAAATCTCGACAGGGCGGAGGCGTGTGGAGCAAGCTGCCGCCTCTCTCTGCGGTTTCAAATTTTGATCTCGCTTACGAATGTAGCGGGGGGTTGGATATTTATAGAGAGTTTCTCAACACGAGCATCTAATGATCAGGAGATGAGATTTCTGTAACTCAGTCTGAGTTTAGTTCCAAACTTTTCATCACATCAAAACTTTTTTACACACAAACTTCTAACTTTTCCATCGCATCGTTCCAATTTCAACCAAACTTTTAATTTTAACGTGAACTAGACACACCCTCATACTGGCAATAACACAAGACATATTTTCCACAAGACTTCCGCATCACAAAGACAGTAGACAACTCAGTGGTTCTGTTCGACATATATTCACAAGGACTGTAAATATTCATCTATTCCTTCTCCTCAATTCAAGGCTCCAAACGTGCCAAAATAATACAGTGTTTCTAACGGTTCATATATTATACTCCCCTCGTTTTTTAATAGATAACTCTGTTGATTTTTGAACACATATTTGACCATTTTTCTTATTCAAAAATTTTAAGCAAATGTATTACTCACAGCAAAATACTAGAGTAGATATAAATCACGCTTAAAATACTTTGAGTGATAAAACAACTCATAGAAAAATAAACTATAATTATGTAAATTTTTTAGATAAGACGAATGATTAAACATGTGACAAAAAGTCAACGACAACTATCATTTTAAAAAATCAGAGGTAGTATAATTACAAATGCCAGGCCAATCTTCAATGGTGATCTGGTAGGCCATCACAGCCTACACAAAAATTGTAAGAGCTCACAGTACAATTTTGTTCAGATAGATACATGTAATTTCATTTCAGAAGCTCACAACACATCAGAAGGGAAAAATGAACAGAGCATAGACATACATTGACACATTCATAACGGATTAATACACACCATGATCAACAAATATACATGTACAGTTTAGAGTCTAAACTTTAGACCCAATCCATACACAGGTAGGAGCTTGGCAGGTCAGTGGAGAACCAGAATGTTCCTTTTACACCAGGTACAATTGCACTCAAGTATATGCATGTGACTTAAATAGTTGTATAAAAATCTAGCTGCAGTCAAATAATTTTCCTGATTTGTCTAGCATCATGATCAACAAATATACATGTACACTACAGTTGTTTAGCATCTAAGAAAAAAACATTCACTTTTATGTTGATCAAATTTTCCGGTAAAAGCAAAGCACAAACAGCATGCTCATCTCATTATCTTCTTTTACTGCTATCAAGAGCATCATTCACGATTCGCTCACTTAGCATACATCATTTGACAAGCTTAGACAAACTGAAGAATAGAGCCAGCCTAAAATCTCTATGACAGTACAGCAGCACAGAACAACAACCTAGCCTTATGCACGCACCTTCTTCAAGTCCAAGTCCAATCATCCAAACTTAGAATAATGGACACATGCCCGTCTCTGACAGCATCATTTGGAGTGTTCATTCTGAAATGTTCGATAAGCCACCTTTGCTGGTTCGAGATGTTGTCGGTATTGCTGCCTAGTGGGAGTAACATTTTGAACTGTGTCCCAGCTCGAGCTTCGTCGAGGATGGCTTTGCCCAGAGCAAGTTCATACTTGCCCCCTCTGAAACCTGTAAGATATATCCGCCTCAGGTGATGCTTGAAACAACCAAGGTCACGGAAGAAATTGTTCCCTTGATAGATGTGTTCATCATCCGCTTCGAGGAGCCTTTCTTCTTGTGTAACCTCATCGTCTCTCTGCAGCAAAGGCACACAAGCACAACTCAAATCAGAAATCAGAATTAACACATGATAATTCTGCAACTCACGCACTATTCGAACAGAATTCAGACATATCAATACCATCGTACTACAGAGACAGTCGATAGTAATTCTGCAGCAAAGGCACGCACGCACAACCCAAATCAGAAATCAGAATTCAGACATAGCCTAATACTGATGCAGAGCAATTAACAGCAAATTTCAGGACAATGAAACGATTGAGTGATTGGATTGGCCGTTTATTACCATGATCTCCAGTTGCTCTAAGAGTGGGAAACACTTCAGAATCTGCTCTATCTCACGGGGCACCCTGTGACCCATCTCTGTGTAGTTCACCCGTAAGCCGAGAATCCTGACAGAACGCTTCTTTGGAGGACGCTGCACCATCCCAGCCTGCGCATGATCAGAGTGTAGAGTTGTTAATTAGCCAATTTGAATTTGGATTTGAATTAATCGGATGAGCTGCATTGCATGCATGCAGGTTTGAATTTGATCATACCTGAATCACAACGCCTTTGATCTCCAAGACGGTGATGAAGAGATCGAGAGAGCCGATTCTTCGCAGGCTGGGCGCGTCAACGATGCAGATCCTGGATGGCCTCGTCAGGTACAGGTCAAGGTTCCGGAATTGGATGGCGTCGTCCACGGTGATCGTGCTGCCCTCCATCAGGTTGTCGAACATCTCCAGAGACCGGAGGCGCGTGTTCTGGACGGAGACGTCTCCCAGCTGCCTGTTGAAATCGACCGTCAGCCCCCGGATTTCCGATTCGGGCCGGAGTGCTCGCGAGATTACGCCGTGGTTGATGGCGCAGCCGCACAGCCCGAGGCCGCGGAGATTGACGAGGGGGTCGATGTGGTCCGCTTCCACGGTGAAGGAGACGTGGAGTCCCTTGAGGCTTGTGCCGCAGTCGCGGATGCCCTGGGGGAGGTCGGGGTGCCCTTCTATGGCGAGGTTGGCGAGGATGACCTCACGAACACGGCCGCGCTGGAGCGCGGCGCACCAGCGGTCGAGGTGGTCGAGGCGCCACCGCGTGGTCTCCACTCGGAAGCTGTAGACGCGGCCGATCTCGTAACCACCAGCTGGGATGTCGTCGTGGCCGTAGAGGTCGTCGTCGCTGATGACGCCGTCGTCGGCGCCTATGCCTCCAGGGGATGGGGGGCGGTGGCGGCCGGCTTGATCTGCTGATTCGTCTTCGACTCCACTGGCTTCATCTTCTGGCCCCTCTTCGAGTTCGACGGCGACCCCCGGTCCAGAATCGTCGACGACTCCGGCGTTTTGAACTGCTGCCTCGTCTTCGGCGACGTCGAGGCCCCCGTCATGATCATCGCCACCATCGTCGTCGTCATCCACCAGGCCAGGGTTGACGATGACGCCCAGGTCGTCGCCATCCGCACCAACTACCTCGTCGCCTCCACCTCCATCTCCATCGTCGTCGTCGTCGCTCCCAACGCCTCCTTGTACGCCTACGAACTGGACGCCGTCCCCGACGTGGAGCTCGAGAACGTTGGCGATGGCGTCGGCGACGTCGTCGGCGGCGATCCGGGGAGAGGCGAACTGGCGGTCGTGGAGATGCAGCGGGTTGGCTCGCCAGATGTCGAGCCAGCGCGGGGAGAAGAGGTAACCGAGGCGGAACAGGTCGAGGACGGGGAGGCGGACGAGCACCCTGGCGACGACGTCGTCGGGTAGCCCCCGCCACTGGGCGTGCGGGATGTCGCCGACGGGCGGCGCGAGGGCAGCGGCCGGAGTGGCATGCGTCCGCGTCGCCCACGGTACTAGGTTCAATCTGGCCACGGCGGAGGCGACGATTCTCGCGCGGGCCTCTTCCATTCCTCTCCGGCGAGTCGGAAATCTCGACACGGCGGAGGCGTGTGGAGCAAGCTGCCGCCTCTCTCTCTCTCTCCGCGGTTTCAAATTTTGATATAGCGGGGGTTAGATATTCGGAGCCTGTTCACTTTGATGCCATTTTCAATCTTACCAAATTTTGATAAAGTTGCTAAAAAAGTGGTTACATTTAGTTTGCTGCCAAATTTTGGTAACTATATAAGAAATCCTACTAAAATTTTAGCAAGTGGCAATGACAAATTTTGGTAAGGTTTTTTTTTCGTTAAAGTAAACAGGCCCTTATTATAGGGAAAGTTTTTCTCTGGTTTTCTGGTCAATCTGGTGCGCACGTTACCGATCGGACGGCCAGGGTCCAATTCCGGAGCAAATCGGCGACTGCTTCTGGAATGGGAATACAGAATAACTCATCACCGTTAGTAACAAATCCACGCCGCACAATGTTGATCGGACGACTAGGATTAGCCCTCTCCGCACTTCGTCGTTGGAATTGACATAAAAGTTTATAGAATATGCCGTTTGAAACTTCTTTAGGTTTTGGACAAATCAGAAAATTAGCATGACTAATATGTTTCTAAGATCCTACTCTTGACAAGAATTACTATAGTCATTATTATCAACTTGGATGACTACTTTCGACTTCCACTGATGGATACAAGACAAATAACCTGCTACTATTCGAAGTGCAGCACAAATTTATGACCAACAAACTCGTGTTCTTCGATGGTAGTATGATATATTGATAATATAACCAGTTTTTCTCAATTAGTACCGTACACAGGAGTACCAAATATGACTGAATTAAGCAGCGAGTAATAGCTACTAGTAAGGTGCAAGGCCCAGGCACCACCGCACCAGACAAAACTTCTCTCAGAATTCCTCCAAACTTCTCTCAGAATTACTACTACAAGTTCAGCAGCATACCAGGAAGCCAGGTTGATGAAGTGTGCATCTATCTAGCTAAGCTGTCTATCTAGACGTAGAGAAGCCAATACCACCTCAAAGTACACCACAGTAGGCGAGATGGAATCAAAATGCTTCAGCGACAAAAGTAGCGTTGTTGATGATGATCAGGTAGTTAACGGAGGTAGAGGATGGCATCGTTGTCTTGCTGGAGCTTGAGCTCCTCCTCCTGCGTCATGCCGACGTCGGTGATGCCGAGCAGCGCCTTGACCTCCCCCACGGGACGCCCCTTCACCGCGTCCGCGGTCATCTGTGCACACAGGTCGCTCAGCCCGTCGATTCCCAGCGCCGTCGCGCCCTGCATCCATCATCAACATGTACACAGATGTATCAGTCAATCAGTCAGCTCACTATGCACATATGCACCAGGCACTTCACTTAACAGTAGGCCACACAGATCATGAAATCTCTTGCTAGAAGCAAAAACTGAACATTGATCCTCAGAATCGTGAGATGACAGGTTCTAATGTCATGTGCTGATTACAAAACAATGGGTTTGTGCAACTGCGAAAGCATGCATGATTCCAAGCTAGACAGTATTCTGTTGGGACATCAATCATGACCAAGATTATATGCAACATCCAAGAACAGAAGATGCAGAAGATTTTAACACATTAAATTGAACCATCCATTATGAAGCTGGTATATATATGCACTTTGCACACAACATCATTTATACCTTTCTAAGGAACAGGCTAGATTTCAGTGCCTATACTCCAACATTTACACAAACAAGCTCACTTTATATACTACTACCAGAGCGCAAAACATGAAACCCACATTATCTATACTCCAACATTTACACAAACAAGCTCACATTATATACTACTACCAGAGCGCAAAACATGAAAACCCACATTATTATCTATACACAGTACTATAGAGCTGTGTTGCACTAACCACAGTTATTGCTATAATGGAGCCCCTAAGTGAGGCCACATCACCGCAATGTTCTAGACCTTTGGGCGCTGCTTCCACGCCTCAGATTACCAACTGAATATTACAGCCCAAACCAATCATTTTCAATGATGGGTGAAGTCTCTACATATCTGATTTGTTGGGGACCCAACAGGCCTCCCACGATTCCTCTTCCTCAGCCTCTAACCTCTACAAGAGCTTAGTATACATACACCTCCTCTGCTACCCATAGGGCAGAGCCAGGCGTAAGAGAGGCCCGCAACCGGAATCAACCTTCCTTGTGATCTGGCCTACCACAAGTCCACAACCTCCATTGGGATCGATCAGCTTCCATTTGCCTTACTGTAGGAGTTCATTGTGAGTATACAAGAGCTAGCATACTCACATCCAGAGCGTACATGCACCCCTTGCCATCACCTCACCCACCCACCATAACAAACATGTCCTTACTATTTTTTACTTACTAGGAGTATTGTTTACATATATGAACTAGCCACTAACAGAAGGTCACAGACCATGTAATCTCTCACTAGAAGCAAAAACTGAACATTGATCTTCAGATTTGTGAGACGACAGGTTTTGGTGTCATGTGCTGCTTACTAAGCAATGAGTTGTGCAGTTAATCAGAAAGTGGCAACTGTGCAAGCATATGCATGATTTCAAGCTAAATATGACCAAGATTATATGCATCATACAAAAGACAGCACAGGCAGAAGATTTTAACTCATTAAATTCAACCATCCATTATGAAGCAGCTATATGCACTTTGTGCACAACATCATTCATCTGAATATACCATGGACCAGGCTTTAAATGGTGCCTATACTTGAACAAGGAATTAAACCAAATCAAAAGAAGAGAAGGAATTATCTGAAAGGATTATTGCTGGATCTTCCCAGAAAATTAACACAACACTCAAGAAACCATCATTTACACAAATAACGCACATTATATACTACTACTAGAGTGCAAAACCCACATTACCTATAGTAGCGAACTTTAGTATAAAGTATAAACACAATCCTACATAGTTGTGTTGCACTAACCACAACTATTGCTAAAATGAAGCACTCCAGCCGGTGAAGCCACATCACCTCAATATTCCAGACCTTTGGATGCTGCTTCCATCTTACCAAATACCAAATGAATATTCCAGTCCAAACCGATCAAATTCTCAACGCTGGATGAAGTCTACAACTTGATATCGTTCATACCCCCTGTCCTCTCTCATTCCAGTGCTCTATGCCCCCATTATCTTAAATCGGTGTGTCCGTACGTGTGTAATACGAAGACTTATCGCAGCAATGCACAGGTATCTTATAGTTAATCAACAGCAATTAACACTACAACAAATCTACAATAACGCACTGGATTACTCCCAACAGCATACGTTAATCTACCATGCCTAATCCCATGTAATCAAGTACATGCCTCCTCTATAAGGTGGAGAATTTTACCAAACCCTGCATAATTTGGACCTCCCATCTAGAATTTTTTTTTCTGAACTAGTTCGTATGAAAATCCTACAAAGCATCCAGGTACCCATTTGGAATCCACTGATCTCATCCAATACACAAACAGAAGAAGCAAGCATGATTTTAAAATCAACCAATCCATCAAACGGGGCCTGGCAAGGGGAGGGAGTTGGGAGGGATTCAGCGCGCGGGGGATGCATCAATCAACCAATCAACCAATCAGGCGAGAGCGATCGAGAGATTGTTTTTACCACGAAGAGGTCGTAGAGCGTGACGGTGTCGGTGACCTCCCGCGCCATGAAGTCGCGGTCCCAGGCGGCGATGTTGGCCACGGCGTCGGCGCCGCCGCCCCGCGCGTGGGTCCGCGCGTACTCGTCGAGGAGGCGGAAGATGCGCTCGTTGCGGATGAAGGGGGCCCCGATCGCGTACCCCAAGGGGACTCGCAGCGCATCGTCGGTGGCCGCGAAGCGCAGCTCGCCGTCCCGGAAGCGCAGCATAAGCCTCGACGGCGCCGCCGCCGCCCCCGCCGCCGCCGCCGCCATCCCCCAATCCGCCTCCGGGTGTGAGCGTGTGTGAGGGTGGTGGTGGAGTGGAGAGAGAGAGAGAGAGAGAGAAAGAGAGAGAGAGACTGAGGAGGGGAGGCTTGCAGAAGAAGGGAACGATATATAGGCGGAAGAAGGAAGGGAGTAGGGCCGAAAAGCCCGGTGGAGCTTAATGGGCTCACACCACCCGTGGTAGGTGGGCCGATGGGCCATGAAACAACGGGGAAAACGGAGAAGTACATGTTGCCTCCCTCAACTGCCGCCTCAGTTTGATTTCGTCTTCTTGATTGTAATAAAGCCAGATACAAAAGCCCTCTCAAGTATACAGTTCGTTTTATTTCCCTCGACGGTTTATCCTATGTTATTCTTATACGACACATTTAAACTGATCTTCATCTGATATAGCACTTACTCCCTCCGTTTCAAAATATTTGACACCGTTGACTTTTTAGTACGTGTTTGACTATTCGTCTTATTCAAAAAATTTAATTAATTATTTATTCTTTTCATATCATTTGATTCATTGTTAAATATACTTTCATGTACACATAATTTTACACATTTCATAAATTTTTTTAAATAAGACGAACGATCAAACATGTGCTAAAAAGTCAACGGTGTCAAACATTTTGAAACGGAGGGAGTATTATAGTCAAATAGTTCTCTCCTCCTCTTCTTCCATCAAGTCATCGTGGCGGTGGATATGAATGAAGGTGTAGGTGTGGGTGTGGGTGTGGTTTGTGTGCGCAAGGTTGCGGTGGTAGAGAGACTGGGGGAGTACAAGGCTTATAGGATCCGCATTTTCTCTGGAACTAACTGTTGTCAATGACAAATTTCATGTGTTTGTGTTAGAACTCAGATTTTCTCTAACGATAAAGATTATAGTACTATTTTATTGTGTTCACAGTTCACTTCTAGTTCATAGAAAGAATATGCTGTTGTCTCAACAAAGCCATAAATAAGACGCACACGTATTTTATATTCAACTATTTAAATAGTTGATCAATAACATTTTACTACAAATAAAGTTTTATTTGATTAAAATAGTATGATTGGATTGACATTTGAATTCATTTTCATACAATTGTGATTTTGTGTTGCTATAAACAACTTAGTATGTAAGAATTTTAATCAAGATTAGTTTTATAAACAGTGTTAAGTTTAACCCCGTCTTACTCAGTCGGGCGGAGAGAATAAGACACCATAGGCCTCCATGCACGGAAAATAGTATTGTCCATTAATACATGATTAATCAAGTATTAATAAAAAAAACTTGAAATTTGAAAATACGTGATTAATTAAACAACTTTTCTATAAAAAAAACTTTTGCAAAAACGTATTGTTTAGCAGTCCAAAAACGTACGGGTAGAAGAAGATGAAGATGAGTTAGGGAAGAACACAACCTTAGTCCTCGCTATAATTTTTTTTTTGAGATAAACTTGGAACGCAGATCTTACTAGTATAAATTTAGAACTCGATTGTTCCCATTTATGTCAGGTTTTCAGATTTCCAAATCATCATGTCCATGGATCGATCATTTGTCCTTGAGAAGAATTCGCTTTTGGTCCAGCAAAACCGCTTTGACGTCGCCGGCGAACTCCGCCTCTCCTCCTCACCGCCGTGCAACATCTAACATGATGTGGGGGGTCCATTGAAAACCCACACGACAGGGGGCTCTCGATCCACTGTCCGGCGGCAATGAGCATCCGGAGGATGAGGACATGGTCGATGCCAACGAGGAGGATGAGTCACGGCGCCATCGGCGGCGCGGGAGCAGGCACCGACCCCGCGGCCCACCGCCACCGCCGCTCCGCCACGTCAATGCCACGTGGAACGGAGACCTAGTTAAACCAGTCACGTAGATGCCACGTCAGCTAAAACTGCATTCAAAACCGTCGAGGGATCTCATTTGCACCGGTTTTGACAATTTAGGGACCGGTTATATCTGGTTTTGGGTTTAGAGATCTTGTTATAAAGATTTAATTGCAATGAATACAACAGTACTATAATCGGATTATAAATCGAATAAGTAATTTAAGAGAGTTCTATAAGAATAAAAAAGACATACTCCCTCCGTCCCAAAAAAAAGACAAACCCTAAATTTTCGTATCCAATGTTTAACTGTCCGTCTTATATAAATTTTTTTTAATTAGTATTTTCATTGTAGTTAGATGATAAAACATGATTAATACTTTATGCGTGACTTATCTTTTTAATTTTTTTATAATTTTTTTAAATAAGACGTGCGGTCAAACATTGGACACGAAAATCCAAGATTTGTCTTTTTTTTTTTTTATGGAGGAGTACACTATTAAGTGTACTAGTAGCAACCAAAGTAACATTAAGGTCGCTGATACGCCTAACCAGCGACCGTCTCCTTGTAGTCACGTCCATTGCAAAATATAGAACTAATTAATAGGAGTAATCCGCTGGGTAAAACCACCTCGGATACTCGCAGTGGAGGCGCAGCTCCGCCGTCCCTCTCTCCGGCAGCTGCGGCGGCGAGATCTCGCCGCTCCTCATGTCGTACACGCCGGACTGCCCGAAATCCTCCTCCTTGCTCGGATACCAGAAACTCCTCCGCATGAAGTAGATGCAATCTTCTCGAGCTCCGGCGCCGCCACCGCCGCCGCCAGCAACGACGGACCTCGAGTCCGCCTTGCCGAGGAACAGCGCTCGCCCGCGCAAGCTGTCCACCGCCTTCCACCGGCCGAGGCCGTCGGCCGCCTCCAAGACGTCGAACCTGCTCGGCGGCCTGTCGGCGCTCCACACCGGCGGCGGGAGGCTCTTCCACCACCGCACCATCAGCAGCCGCCCGCCGGACTCCACCACGTAGCGCACGACGAGGTGGCCGCGCCTCTCCACGTCGACGTGGACCGACTTCTTCTCGGGGTCGTCGGCGATGCACGGGCGGAGCACCGCGCCGCCCTCGCCGCCGCCGCCGTTGTCGAGATCGAGGACGTGGAGGCCTTCTTTGCTGGTGACGGCGTAGAGCTTCCCGTGGAGGAAGGCGATGGCGCAGATGGCCGTCGCCCGCAACCAGACTGAGCGGATCCTGCTCCTCTCGTCCATGAACGAGAACGACGCGGCGGCGCCGTCGTGTCGCTTGCAGGTGGAGATGGCGACGGCGCATCTGTTCAAGATTAGGGCAGCGACGAGGGTGTCCGGCGGCGATGACGAGGAATCCGCCACCACCGGAGAGGACGACATGATCACGGTGCTATACGATGGTTTCGGGGTGTACGTCGCCACAGTGGGCGTCTCGCACGAGTCAACCGCTCGGCGCACGGCGGCGGCGAGCTCGGGGAGAGGGAGAAGCGGGTCGTCCCTGTCCCCGGAGGCGGCGGAGAGAGGGTTCATCAGGGAGCAGCCGCCGTCGTCGTGCTCGAGGAAGACCAGGTTGCCGCCGCCGACGGGGTGAAAGCTGACGACGCCGTCGCGGAGGATGGGCCGCGGGCAGCGTACGGGGTTGCCGTCGAGGTCGATCAGGCCGCCGTCGCGGAGCGCGAGCCACGGCATCGGCGGCGGGGCGCCAGGAGCGGCAGACGGCGCGGAGGCGGACGCGGTCGGCGTGGGACGGCAGGCGCTGGAGCACGAGGCCGAGCAGGTCACTACAGAGCTCTGACTGCCACGGCGAAGGATTCCTCTTCGCCGGAGGGAGCGACGACGACGACGACCATTGAGACTCCACCATATCTACCGGTGACGACAACGATGTACGGTCGCCGGCGTTGTCAAAGGCTTTTAATTTGCTCGACCAAAAGCGAGGTATGGCAGAGTTTTTTTTTTTTTTAACGCCGGCAAAAGCTTTGCCGTTATATTAATAGAGCTGGAGAAAAAAGCAGTTCATATATATAGGGAAGTACTGAAATTCCACCCCCCCCCCCCCCCCCGTAAAAGGTATGGGAGAGTATGGAAACCTGACATAAATGCGAACAATTAATGAATACTCCGTCCCAAATTGTAGTAAAGCGTCTTATTATTCGAAGGAAAGACAACCTTTATGATTTGGAACCGTTTATAATATAGCTTTTGACTAGCCTCTAAATTTTCTAAATTCAGGGCATGTATAACGGTGTGTAATAACGGTTTCTCTTCGTTCCCATGCAAATAAAATTGATGATGTGGAAGAGAGAAAGTGGACGAAAGGGAAACATGGTTGCTACGCATGACAACGGGTCAGAGTGGACTCTTAACGTTTATTAAAGGAAATTTTGTTGCATGGAGGTCGAGAAAAGGAAAGAATGGTACTAAAAATATATTTTGGTGCATTAATGGTTAAGAGTTCTTGTTGTCTTAACTATTGTAGGAGAATAGTCTCTAAGTGATATGTATTAACTAAGAGACCATTTTAGACTCTACCTTTATACATGCCCTCAGAGCTATTGGATCACTTTGTGATTCGTGCAACATACTCAAAACCTTTTTTTTTCTCCTTCCCTTTCTCACACCTGCCCGCCGCCATTGCCGCCATTGCTTTTGTGCGTTCATGGAATCTCTGCGTGTCACTGTCTGACCTAGTTAGTTGGAAGGAAGGGATCAACAATATCGATGAGCTCCCACCCCTCTCCTCGGCGGCCTCCTCCCCTTTTCCTCTTCTCTTCCCCAAGGCAATGGCGTTGAGTCCCCCGTCCCTAGCGTCTTCCTCGTCTTTAGCGGCTCTCCGCCGTCAGATCCAGCCATCACCGACCACCGCCTCCTACCAGTCTCGTTGTTTTCCCACGTTGCCAACGTGGGCCCACCACCTCTTGACAACCCTACGGCTCCCGTACTGCTGCCACTACCTCGTCGCACGTCCATGTCCAATGCCTACAGCCAGTTCTTCGTTGCCCACGACCATCCCTCTAAGCCCTGGGGAACACCCGCTCTTCCCCCTCCTTGATCCCCCTCCTACCGGAAAGGGATCCTCTGATTTAACTGATTTGCAGTTGAGTCACTGACATGTGGGCCATAGAAAAGTGGGACCCACATGTCAGTGACTCAACTGCATGTGCAGTTAAGTCAGAGGATCTGCTTCCCCCTCCTACCCCAACTCCAACCCCACAACCTAATTTGTATGTCCTCTGCCAGAGTTGGGGGCATTGCCAGTGCCCAAGAAAAGGGAGAGCTTTCTGGAGTTGTATGAGAAGAAGCCCAGGCATGAATCTTGACACAAATCGAACGGTCCATAATCTGTAAGATTTTATCTCTAAATTTATATCGAATGTCATTTAGCATTTCCTTTATAAATTTCAATCATAACTAAATATCAATATATTTAGGTTTATATCTAGTGCCATGCTGCGCGTGATATACATAATTTAAAACAACTAGCAATGCTACCGCACATTTACTCGGCTAGTATCCATATAAAATTAACTGACTTTTCTTACACATGATTTTTGTTCTCTAATTTGTTAAATAGTCACCTTGTTGTCTTAGGATTTTAAAAAAAATCGAAACTTATCATCATCGATGATTTTCATCAATTTTATAGTTTTCAAACCCCCTACTCCACTGTCAATGCCTTACTGAGCCGTTCCTGATATGCGGCAACAGAGGGAGAGATCAAGCTCACCGGCGCTCGGGGGTGCGGTAATAGAGGGGGAGCTCAAGCTCATCACCGGTCACTTGGGGAGGAGAGAAAGGAAAGAAAGAGCTCATCACCGGCCGAACTGTGTGGGGTAAGAGAGGAGGAGAGGAAGAGAGGAGGAAGTAGAAGATGACGTGGATTTATTTGACAGGTGGCACCCTACGATACATCCGCGTGTAGCAAAAACACGGTAAAACAGCTTGAGGGGATAAAATGTCCGGTATTGATAGTTAGGGGGTGTATTATACCCAGTTTTATAGTTCGAGGGTATATTTTAGACAAACATAAGAACTCAGAGTGTAAAATGGACTTATCCCAAGAGAATAACAGGAGTAGGGCTGGGCTATTCATGGGCTTTATTGGGCTTGTCTGGCTCTGCAGGCCTTCTTTGCATCGGTGCAAAATAGAAAGTTTTTTTAATTTTTTTTATTTACTAGAAAAAAAATACTCGTGCGTTACAACAGACGAAGATTATTTTAATCCTATAATTGTTATACGGTTTAGTTAGGGTGAAATTCACCGTGGAAATTTGCTTGGATATTTTATTTTAGAAAATCATGAGATGCAGTTAGGAGTCCGACATTTATCTCAAGTTAGCATGTGAGGTTTTTAAAGAGATTTCTTATACGACTCCTTTTGTATTTCCAAAAGCAAACAAACTTAAAATCCGACTCAAATACGGATCTATATTTCTAAAAGCGAACGAACTTAAAAAACGAATTAAACACAGATGACGTACCAAAATACCGGCAAAAACATCTTCAATTTTTATAATAGTAGAGATCTATTATAAAATATTTTTTTTAAAAAAATTTGGTTTCAAAGTTTAACAAATCTACACTCCTAACGTTCTTTAGAAGGATATTTTTTATGACATGGTACATGTCCGTTGGCGCATGCTAATGGTCACATGGAGATGACTAGCAATTTTGCAGGCAACTTCTTTCCCGCCCTCCCAAAGGGCTGCAAGGGGTCGCCCTGGAAAATAACCAAGGCTAGCCATTTTCAGGCACCTCCCTAGCCACCCTCCTAAAGGAATATAAGGGGATTGCTTACAATATGTCGTAGATCGTTATTTTACCGGTAGCTCCCTTTGTCACCATCCTAGAGAGCTATAAGGGGGCTGCCTGTAAAATAGCCAGCCTCCCTCCGCGCGACCGTTACAATACACCGATGAACGTGTGTTATGTCATGAAATATGCCTTAGGGACGTAGGGATGTAGATTTGTAAAACTTTGAAACCAATTTTTTTTTTAAAAAATATTTTAATAAAAAATATTTTTTTAAAAAAAATCTAAAATAGAACCGGAAGCAAATCCTCGTTTAGCACTATCGAGCCCACATGTCAACAGAGGATCTTAATCCAATATAACCAGCGGGGAATCAACCGCCTATCAGACACCACCCCTCCTGTTTTGCAATGCATTCTTCTTTCCCAAAAGGATGTGAAATTATATTTCTTTGTCAAATTTCTTTTATTATTTATAGTAATTCTTAATCTAGGAATTAAAATATATAGTGTATGACTAGATACATAGTTAATAAGATGTTATATTTTAGGACATATAGTGGGGTAGTAATAAGTAACAAATGTATAGTGTGAGATTTCTATGTATATCTAATAAAATCAAACGCCGATTAACTAACCTAGCCAAGACTTCCAGAGATCACAGGATAGTACTCCCTCCGTTTCACAATGCAAGTCATTCTAGCATTTCCCACATTCATATTGATGTTAATGAATCTAGACAATATCAATATGAATGTGAATCTTATATTGTGAAACGGAGGAAGTAGACAATAGTATAGTTATGTTATGAAAAGAAGTAAATTCATTTATTCCTTCCTCAATTCAAGGTTCACAAAGTGTCAATTCAATATATTTCTGTCAGCTCATATATGCCATATAATTACAAGTGCCAGGCCATCTTCCGTGGTCAGGCTCACAAAAAATTGTAAGAGAAGTGAGGCCACAAGAAGAGCCTGCATGCAGTACATTTTTGCTCAGATAGATACATGTAATTACACTTCAGAAACTCTCAAGAAAGCGGGTGAAAAAATTGAATAGCATAGGCATACATACATCAGAATAGAATACACACCATGACCAACAAATATACATGTATAGTATAAAATTCAATCTATGCACACAGATGTAGGAGCTTGGGCAGGTTAGTGATCCATCTCCGCTGCAATCAAATATTCTGCCGGTTGATGAAATAGCCTTCATTTGTTTCCCTGAGAATGCCCCTTTAGAGCTGATGACATGGCTCGTAGCCTGTCGGTGACCTCCGTGAATGAGGGGCGGATGTCAGGATCGGCCGACCAGCATTGCTCCATCAGTTGTCGCCATTCAGGCTCGCAGTTTTTGGGTATCGGAGGCCGAAGAGTGTTGTTGACGATACCGCCTTGTCACAATCAATCATGCAAGTTATAACAGGGGGGGGGGGGGGTTGAGAAACAAACTTCAGAATATTTTAGATGATGGGAGCATGAAATATGATGAAGAGTTCTGTATGTTGATCCAAAATCTTGCTTTCATTTGTAGATCAATACAGGAATGCAATCAAAACAAGAAGTGAGTGATCGAGTTATACCTATGATAGCGCCACAGTGCATATTTGCGTACGGTTCCTCACCAGTCAAGATCTCCCACAAAGCTATCCCAAAGGAGAACACATCCACCTACATGATATCAGGCACAGAATGGTTATACACGATTACAAGCAAAAAACGATAAGGAGTCTGATGAAATACTTCACCTTTTCAGACACTCGGCTGCTGCTTCCATTCAAAAGCTCTGGTGCCATCCATGGAAGAGTGCCCCGTACACCACCAGAAACCAAAGTGTTGCGCTTAATTCTTGATAATCCGAAGTCTCCAACCTGTGATTCAGTTTGTCACGAATTATTAGTTGAACATTTCAATGACATCAGAGCTAGATGGTCAAGAACTAAAATGATCTGTTTTTCTGCTTATTGACAACAACTTCCTAATAATTTGCCCAGTGCTTGGTGTGGATAGAAGTTACCTTGCAGATTGGCCTCTGAGGATCTCTCAAATTAACAAGTAAATTGTCGCATTTCAAATCAAAATGGACTATGCTTTTGGAGTGCAAATATTCCATCCCAAATGCCGCATCCATAGCAATAATGAGCCTTTTCCGACGATCGAGCATTCTGCAGAGATCTAGCAAACAGTGAGATCCTTCTGCAGAGTGGAAAGCACTGAACAGAAACATACGCGACTCACCTGTCCTTCCTTAAAAGAACATTCCTTAGTGATCCATTTACCATGAACTCTGTCACAGTTGCCAATGTTCCTCCAGTTCCATCAGGAACCACCCCATAGAAAGCAACAACATTTGGATGATGCAACTTTGAAAGAATTTGTGCTTCCCTCCAAAAGTCTTTGGTCTGTAGAGAAAACCATGTTGATGTCACGTTAAGCAAAAGAGAAGATAATAAGTTCTACCATGGAGGCTTCAATTCCAACAAATCGGTAGTCCGGGTGCTTAAATATGTAGTAATAAGCAAAAGCAAACAAGACCGTTACTTCCACAGCCAACATGTTTCTGTCACATTTTCATTTTGCATGATTAGAAGCTGCCAAATGACTAAAAGGAGTGATGCCAATGCTACTCACAAGCTTCTCTTGTTCAGATGATCTCCCAGCAAAACAGCTTTTCTTAATTCGTTTGATAGCAACATCGGTTCCTCGCCACTTCCCATGGTATACTGTTCCAAATGTGCCGGATCCCAACTCACGTAACTCCTCAAGGTCAGCATTTCTTATGATCTAATAATAAAAACACCAACAACATACATTTATGACTTGCATAGTATAAATAAACATGATGAAGATGTTATTTCATCAAATAACCATCTTTTTTTAAAAATTAGTACTATAATTGCTTAGAAAACAAACTGCACCTGTAAGCCATACATGCTGGCCTCCAGTTCAGCAACTGCAGCATCACTTATGGATCCATCCGCAGCTGGTTCATCATCATGATCCTAAGATTTGGAATAACAAAAAGGATACAGTCAGCCATTCAAATGGTATGGTGTATGAAACATGCTCAATATATAACAAATAATACCTCATTGGCTAACTCTGGCACATCACTCCTAGCATCATCATCCTTCAGTGATGAAATAATAACTTGCTGCTGTTCTTCAGCTGCCACTTCAACAAGAGGAACAAGTGGTCTGGATGACAGAATGCCTAAAGGCGCATTATCAGTCGCATCCTCAACTATAACAGGTGCGTCCATTTGAACATTGTTATGCATTCTGTCATTCAGCTTCATGCTTTCATTATCAAATCCATTCACTACATAATTGCGGGTAATATTGTACTCAAGAGGGACCTCTCTGCTCGAAACACACACAGGAAATGGATTCTGAGATGACAGCAAATTCGCACTCACATTAGAGTCACTCATGCCAGTAAGTGGAGAGGTAGCCAAGCCATAGTTATGCACTGATGACTGGTCCAACTTTCCATTTTGATACACACTAGATTCTCTATTTACCATAGATATTTGGGAGGCAAAAGCATCAAAAGAATTTATGGGCAAGAAAACTTTATCATTCCCGGACACGCAGCCAGCAGTTTCATAATCTGCAGCAGCACGTCCTAAATTCAGTTTGTCTAGTTGAGACCCAAGATCTGAATTCTCTATTCTGGACCCAATAGAACATTCATTAAGAAATGAGCAGGAATGATCATTAGCGGGTACTGATGTTGGGACTGAGCTTTCTAGAGCATCTAACTCATCTGAGGACATCCTCGCACCACGTGCACAGTAGGACTTGAGCCCTGTATCAACAAAAGAGAACTGGTGAGCAACATTTGTACCTGCCCTGTTTTCCTGATGATAAGGCTTATCCCACTGTTGAACAGTAGAACCACCATCATGTCCTTGTCTGACATTACTAGACAAACTGTCTTGTTGGTAATATATTGTTGGCTCCACACTGGTTCCGCTGACAATGCCTTGATTATACGGTTGATCAGTATGATTAGAAACAAGGTGCCTTGGTTCTTCTGTTCGAGCAACATCAGTTGGCTTAACACAAACAAAATCTGGCCTAGTCACGCTTAATTTTCTCTCTAGCTCCTTGGTTTGATATATTTCCTGAGAAAATGATGAGGCTATGTGGGAGCCAGCAGCTAATGACAAATTGGCTGCAAGTACTTGTGTGCGGTCTTTCAGCAAAGGATCGGAAAAAGCATGAGTCATGCCTTCTGCAGATAACACTGCATTTTCTGGGTGCACGGATAACTTTTCAGAATAAAAGGGTGTTTCCACAGTAATAGGCATATCATAGTTGGTGTGGGAACTCAAGCCACTCTCATTTCGAGGCACAGCCAAGTCTTTTACCTGGCTTTGAATTTGAAAATGGCGTGGGGAAGTTCCAACTCCAATAACTGTGTCTGTATTATTTTGTTTATTATGTTGATGGTCAGGAAACATCGTTTTCAGATTTGATCCATTGTAAACTTCACTTTTGTTCTCATATTCTTGGTTCAATATTGATTTATCTGCAGATGATTGCATCCTTGATTGTTTCATGGTCCTCTGCCGAGTTAAGCATGCGGAAGGAGTTGCTGATGACTCAGACACCATTGGTTGTGTGAACGGATCAATAAAGAACTGAGATGGAGGTTCATTTAAGGAATTTCCACCCAAAGATTTAGCTCCACTATCTCTATCTGTTTGACGCACAGGTGTGTCTCTGAAATGGAGTGGAGAATTATCCAAGTGATGTTTCGATTGGCTCATCAAACTGTTGCCGCTGGTGCTCCTCTTCAGTTGTGCCAGATTGTTCACAGCAACTACAAACTGATATTCTGGTTCACTCTCTAAGCTTCTTGAGTCTAATGATGAATCCTCGCATTCAGTTTGCGAGACAAGAAATATTCGAAGTCTAGGTGAGGAATTGGCCTTTTCAAGGCTGCTATATTCTTCCATCATATTCTGAAGATCCTCATCACATGAAAGAGATATCAATGCATCAAGATCCTCTTCAGGAAGCTGATACTTTATGATGTGAGGCTGACTGTAGATTTTCAGAGTTTTCTGTACAAGTTCATTCCATGAGAAGTTTCTTGGTATTGAGATTAGACGTGTTTCTCCACCAACATATCTGAGCTTCCCGTCACTTGGCCTGGGCATGATTTTCCCACCAAAGCTACACATGAACTTGGCTTTTCCAGACTGTGAGTGTGGACTATCACAGCAAGAAGACATATCTTGCAGATTGTCACTTGAAACATCGGCTGATTTAAGCCCATTCTCAGGGGGTATGCACCTCATACGCGCCGGATTTGTTGGATCCAAAGCACATCTCATTGGCAAACCAGTATTTGAGACATCTGACAGGTTCTCAGAGTCAAACCTACTAAGACCAAGGATTTTAGTCAGATCTTCATAGCAGGCAACATTCAGGTTTTTCTGGTTACTGGACCCAACCTGGTTATTCATTTCGTTCAATGCAAACGAAATGAAGGGCTCTGCCAGAAGATCTTTCTTGATAAGCACAAACTTGATTAACACGGACCGCAAATGATGTCCTTCCACTTAGCTTTGAAACACAAATTTCTGAAGCATGATTGCCTTCAAATATCGAACCATTCATCTCTTTAGACCAAACCAATATGCTTGCACGCCTAATCTGGATCTTGCCTCTTTTGCTTTTGGTATAACCAAGCGAAGCGGTTAGCTGTAATAAATCAAAGGAAACGAAATTAACATCCATTCTATGGTACCTGGAATCAATTGAACTGCGAGATTCTAACTATCAACGATTTTGATACGTGGTTACCATTTCCATTTCCATTCCTACACGTGAGATCACTCACTAGTTTCAAAGTATTTTGCATTTCTTAGAACAAAAAAAGGAAAAATAAATAACCCAACAAAAAAGATTGCAGGAAACGAAATGATCAAGGATGAAGCAACGACCCCGACCAAAATGGAACGAATCGCGCGAACAATTTCACATTGCAAGCTTGCAACCGCATCGAATAGAGAGGAGGGGAATCAGCTAATTTAGGGATCAACACCAAACAAGAACACACGAGGGATAATGAACAGTAAACCAAGATCCATCTCTCCTAGCCGCGGATTAGGAATAATCCGAGCGGAATCACGCACCTGAATCCCGCTCCCGCCCCCCGCGCCGCGCGTCCACGGCTCAGGCCGATCCGCGCAACGGCCGGGCCCGATTCATCCGCGTGATTTGCTTCCAAGAATCCATTCCCCCCCGCCGCCTCGGGGGAAACCAAAGCCGCGATCGCGCCAAAAAAGAAAAGAAAGAAGAAAAAGAAGAAGAAGCTCGAATCAAGAAAAAGTGACAATGATAGATAGAAACGAGATGATTTTCTTTTGCGGGATTAATTTGGGATTTTTCGCGGTGGCTGTGGAGGAGGAGGAAAGGGAGGGAAGGGGAGGGAAGGGAAGGAGAGTGAAATGGCGAGGCCGCCGCGAGAGGAAACGCGGCTGGAACGGGAACGGAAAACGTAACGGAGGAGTGCGCCGCCTCGGGTTTGGCCGTTTGGGTTCGCTCGCGTGGCAAACCTCGTTTGGTTTTTTTTTTTTCCGTTGGGAAATTTTGGTTGGATTTTGCCGGCAAAAACGAGGGAGCCACATGGAAGGGAAGATGCGGTGGCGCGGTGCTGCCCCTCTATTACTTTACTTAAACTGGTATTAAACTATTAATAAGCTAATACTCCCTCTATCCCATGTAAAAAAAAACTCCCTTTATCTCTTATGGAACACATACTTATGGGGTAATGGAATTTATTCCATATAAAAAAAAACTCCTCATATTTTGACGGAGGGAGTAATAACCTTGAAAATATGAGTGGGCATGTTTTAGATTAACTTTTATAAACTTTGAACATTAATGTTTAAATATGTTAGTTTGCTTATCAGTTGTGGCTACAATTTAAATTTTAAAATTTTATAGTTAATTTTGTTTATTTTTTCATTGTATTATTTTTTTCAAAATTTGTTTGTAAACTACCAATATACAAACATAAAATGTTTGCCCATTAATTATTTATTTTCTTCTATTATTTTCTTACGGCTTATCAACCGTAGCTCAACCAATCGGACCTTACAATCTTTTAGTAAATTAGCAATCCATTTAAAATCTGCTCTAGTTCTTTGTCAACGCCATGTATTTCCTCAACATCCAAAATTCTTCCACAAACTATATATTGTCTCCCTTGGATTTTGCAATTGTTTTTGGACAGAGGTAATACTACAAAAGAGACATAATTCCTGGTAAAACATACTATCGATTTAGTCCCAAGGAAACCATGATCTTTGTGTGTATATACCACAGCAATCATGAGTGTCAAAGACAAAATCATGGGCTAAATTATCTCAACAAGAGGGAAGGTTGTTTTCTTTCGTTAATAATGGACCAATCTTACCCTCCTATGAAGGCTTTCAATTAGGGCCACAAGTGTAGCAAGCGTCGACAGTGGCGTGGCTGCCATGTGTAGTCGCTGTCCTGTTTGCTTCTTGTTGTGCCATCTGCAATTCTTTCAATTCAAAGATGCGATTTGTTAATTCAATCTCCTGCCGACCAAACGAGCTGAGACGTCGTTAACGCTGCTGACCTCACCGAACTCTCGCATATTTCGTAATTTGGACGCTCATCGTTATGCTTCATGATTTGATTCTCTAACTAAATTATGACCCATTTGGAATTTAAGAACATGCAAAGATTCACGCATTTGGACACCCATAAAAAAGGGGGACTATTGCGCTCTTGATCCTATTCCAAAGTGTCCAGCTATCCATCCTTCCAAAACCATTACAGCAAATTCTAATAAAAAGTGAAATGGGGGTTTCCTGATCTTATTTACTTCCCCATTCCTTTCTACCGCGGTCAAAATAGCTGTACAACGTTACATTACGTATGTACACGTGTCTTTCATGTAATCGAAAAAAAAGATGTAATCGAAAAGAAAAGAGTAAATTACAAGTATGGCAGTGAGCAATTGTGTGGGCTAGCATATACACAACTTGTACATTCACCGAGTGCTATGTATGAGCAAAGGACCACTTTGCCTAGTCGTTGTCTCTGCTGTCAATGAAGCTCAAGAGGAAGCCGCTGACGATTCTCCTGGCGATGGGGTTGGGTATGTGGCGGCAGAGCCGGCCGTCGACGTAGGCGACCATGCCGGAGACGGCGAACCTCCCCACGCTCCACACCCTGCTCCGCCTCGCGAGGACTCCCACGGACGACGACGACGGCGACTCGCCCTTGCCGTCGTCTTCGCCGCCTCCGGCTGGTCTCTTCGCCTTTGAGACGACTCCGGCGATGGCCTTGGTGGCCTCCCGGTGCAGCACGCGCACGGCGAAGCTCACGAACAGGTGCTCTGCGAGGGTGAGCACCGTCGGCGCAATCCTCCACTCCTGGCAAGTAGTTGGAACAAGATGAATTAGTTTATGCCATGTTCATGGTTTCCATATCCTGGATGCCGGCTGCCAAAATCTAAATTACAGAAATTGTCATCATGATGTTGGTTTCAATTTTCAAATCAAGAGAAACTTACAGGTTCATTTCGTAGATGTCGCAAGGGTCGGATTGTGGAAGAATCTCCTTTCAATAATCCCTTGCTCACAAGAAAGCTTTTTACGTTGTCGACGATTTCATTTATGAGAGCACTATTTGGTGGCAGATTCTTTAGAATAACCTGGAGTGAAAGGGTTCATTATTACAGTTTGACCAGAAACAAAAATGCAGTGAATTAATTAAAACGCGCAGTATGTAGCAAAACAAGAAAATATTCGAGGGGGTTACCTGGTCATCAATCACCCTGATGCGAAGATATTCTTGTTTGTACATGACATCAAGCATGGCTTGTAGGTATCCTTCGATGTATAGCTGAAATTTAGCAGAGATTGTGTAAATATATGTTGGATAAATGTACGGTGTCATACTCATGAGATCTCATTAATTAAGCTTCTAAAGTAATGGAAAGAACCTCATCAAGTCCAGGACTATGGTCAAGTTTGATCTTTCTGTCAGGACCACCCTCCAATATAGCCTGTCCTAATACTGATGGCTCCATTGCCAACCTTAAAATACCTTGGTGGAAGCCAGTAACCTACAAAACAGGAAAACTGCTTCATACCTTTTTATCACTGCAAAGAAATGCATTGAGTTCTTAAGAAACAGGGGGGGGATGAAGAAATCCACCATATAAAAAGAGGCTATACCATGCCATTAAAACCATTGGCTTCTGCGCCTCTCACAATGCTATCTGAAATTTCTGTTACAGCAGCGAATAGTGCATTTGAACTTGCAGTTTTAACCTACAGAAGACCAAACAATACATTAATCCAATGGAAGTCACTATTGAAGTATTGATCCAGTAAGAAAGTTTTGGAATCTCACAGTTTTTCCAAGATCACCAAGGTATCGCTTTGTTCCTGAAAAACCGCCTGATTTCATATTTTTGCTTATAAACTTAAACATGCCTGCACAAGCCACAGGAGTAAAACAAGTCAAATGGTTAAAATCTACATTGAAGGACACACCATTATTATACTTTTATGCAATAGAACAAACTTATTATAATGCTGTCTGCCTAAGTATAACACAGTCCGTGCCTTGAACAAACTTGTAGAACAATCATTAGAGACAACCTTTAATGAACATCACAGTTATAAGTTAACTGTAGACATCTTTTGATGAGTAAAAGTAGTTTTAGTGCTCCAATCAAGGATTTGCCTGAGAGAATGCTATCCAGTTTGGAAGAAATGGGACCAAGACTTTTTACCTATGGTAAGCCCAGGAAGGTTGAGTGAGCCATCAGAAGGGTCAAAGAAAACATCAATAACTGAAGAAGCAGAGTCATCGAAAATTGAGGCAAAAGATGGAGGAAGCAATGAGCTTCCCTTTGTTACATAGATTGCCCTCAAGACATACCTATCAATTAAGGAAGTATAGTCATTTGTTTGTGTATAATCAAAAACAGACAACAAAAAAATGAGAAAAAAAGAAAACGTGTGAAGATGTACCATGAATAATGCTGGGCACATTTCAGAAATAGCTCACGGAAAGTAACCAAAGCATGATTTAGGAGAACACCATTGAGCTCCACGGCTGAACTGCTAATCTCAGGCACCTACGGAAAGAGTAAAGTATGAAATTATAAAATTACAATAAAAATGCGAGTCCTTCCAAAATAAACAAGCTATGCATTTTAACATAACATAAAAGCTAGTACTTCAAAGGTACCTTTATAACACTATGCAATAATGCTCTCAGAGCCTCTTGAGCAGAACTATAAGTTGTGTATGGACTTCCAGGTCGAAAGCTTGCGATAATCTTTAGAGCAATGCATTCATAAGCAAAACCCAGTCAGTGATTCCGTTGAAAAAAAAAAGTCATAATCACAGAAACAAAGCCAAAAATATAAAGAAAAGAATAAAGCACCTTAATTGGATGTACTTCAAAATGCCTAAAGTAAAATTGTGTGCTTGGCGTTCCAGGAGGAGCAAGGGATGTTCTCCAAAATGGCACAATCTTCATTAGTGTTTCCTCATCAACCTTCAGGTCAATAGGCTGTGACATTTTACTTTGGTCAGAGAATTTATACTTATCATGGCATTGTAGTAGTGAGATATAAAATGGAACAACTATTAGAGATACTCCGAAAACAGACTGTTCTGTGTGTTAACAAGAAGCGAGAACACCCATTTCATTACCTGTAGAATTATGGAACAATATTGGACTTGTTTGACACTTGAGTTGGTCGAATTCAGCTTAATGATTATGCGAAGAATATTTTCACTGAGAGTAGCATCCTGAAGCTTGTTCCTTCTAAGAATTGACCCAAATGAAGCTCCTTCCCATTTTTCATCCAAGTTAACTGACTGCATTTATTTGATTTAAAGATACATTCTTAAATAATATAAAAATAGACAAAAGAATCACCGTTTACATAAAAAAATATAAGATATGGAGAGTTTCAGTACTAGTTTGTTCCCTCTGATAATTAGTCTATTCAAAATTTACAGTTGGCAATAAAATGTAGTTCACAATTACTGACTACTTACGTGAATTGCAAGAGAGATGTGCCTGTATCTATCTGTGATAACTGAGTCAGCAGATATGTGCTGGAATCTTGCTGCTAAGATTGCAGATGGTGATTGGCCCTTTTCCTCACCCTTCAAAAAGGCAAACATGAAAAGATAAATAATTTGATTTTAAATTGCAAATATCAATGCAGATAATTCAAGTCTTCAAGAGGAATATAGCATAAACATGTTGAGACTACTGAAATCCAGAACAGAACAAACCTGCTGGCCCTTCTCAAGGAGATGAATACACATATAAGTCATTCTGAACTGTACATTTGCTATAGGGTGTTCAATGTTATCAGCTTTAGGATTGTCTTTGTGTTCACATATCCGTAGAACTCTAGTTAAACCATCAGCATACACTTCATAGCCAATCTTAAACACCCTCA